AATGTTAGCAAACAATTACCATCTTCTCCTGTCTAATTGACAAAAATAATAAAAAAATATAAAAAAATGTAAAATCTGAAAAAAAAAATCTAATTTTTAGGAGGAAAATATCTGAAACAGAAAGAGAGAGCCGACCATCTTCTCCTGTCCACCATTATCATCTTCTCCTGCCCACCAATTAATGGTATTTATTGTTTCCACATGGATGCAACTCTTAGCCTTCCTTCTGCATCCACCCTCTTGCCGTGAACGCCATCATTCAAACCCCACGCCTACCTCGCATGATCCTGCAGAAAGCTGCTTGTCATAGACACAGTGGTGGTATGCCACACCATCATGGAGAGTCAACTCCTACGTTGGCTGATAGTTCTTTGTCAAAACCTTCAGTTTCTAACGATTCTTGTCCTACTACTATAGACAACATAATGGAGAGCACTAAATTTTTGGATGATTGTGCTTGTTTTAGATATCATTTAGTTCACGAAAATATACTTCCATGACACCCTGCTTGTGGATGCCTTCCCTCATCGTGACCGTAAGGATGTCGTTTAAGTGATATGGCTAATGCTAATCTGACAACCTTATTTTGCTCGTAGTTTTGTATCCCACAAGCATATAAATAGTTCTCAGGTCTTTTCGATCGGTAGTCGTGTACAGTAAAAACTAGACAAAACAGTTTCCTTTACTTGTGCTGCAGCTGAAAATTTGATCGTGACCAATGATATTGATTTAGTATTGGTTATTATAAAGGATTACTCATTGACAAAGCTAGAATCAATTTTGGAATCAATTTTGGAGCCAACCGAGGTTTCTCCCATGTTAGTCTCAGTGTGAATTATAGTTCTTGTCGACCCGAAGATGTTAAACCTACGAAAGTAAATGGAAGGCATTCCCATCAAATGCCCCATCGATGATAAAAGTCGATATTGAGTTTAGATAGTTCAGACGTATCGGATGAGCTCTTAAGAAAAATTTCAGTGTGTGTGGAGATTGCACCTGAGGAACCCTTTATAGAAGGCTTTGAGAACCGTTACCTTTGAGATTATTGGTGGTTTTGGAAGTGATGGCACATCGTTCTTGGACTAAGTGGAGGTAAGGGTATCAAGGTACCCTGAATATGGGACATGCCTTGATTAGCTTGACCCGATCTGGGCGCGTGAAAAGAAATCCCTCGTAACAGATGCATAATACAAAATGTGCCCAAAGTACATGAATCGAAAAAATTCAACCCACGGGAAGCGAAATCAACCATGACAGAGGTACAAGGCCAAATGTGTCCGAGACACATAAATTAAGAAAATCCGACCCATTCGAGAGAAATATATCACAATAGAGGCACAAGGCAAAATACGCCCAAACCATATAAGTCGAAAAAACCTGATATGCGTGAGGAGAAATCCGTCACGACGGAGGCATAGAGCACAATGCACCCGAAACACGTGAGTCGGAAAAAACTCGACCCGCATGAGAATAAATCAACTATAATAAAAACATGGGGTAAAATGTGCTGAGGGATGTGAGTCAGGAAAAACTGACTCATGAGAAGAGATCTCAAACGTCTTACGTTAGATGAACTAAATGTCGCACTACGAGCCCCTCTCATAAGAGTCTTGAAGCACACTTTTTGATAGGAGGGCAAATGATAGGGGATACATTATCGGCTAATTATCATCTAACATATCACCGTCACATGATATCTAGAGAGGAAGGGAGGAGAAGACGAAAGTTACCCCTCTATCCATTTGCCCACGTGGATGAAGATCCAAAGCAGGCAATCGCAAGCCTCCTTCTTGCCCTTTATGATCAGAAAGACAATCACAAGCTTTCTTCTTATCCTTTATATCCATAAATATAATATTAAGTTTTCTTCTTGCCCTTTATGATAAGAAAGATAATTGTAAGCTTCGTTCTAACCTTTTAAAAGCTCATCTTTAACACAAAAGGAAGAATACTTCTTTTGACTATTCACGTTCATACTTGTATACCTTAGGTTATTAACTTTGATATCAAAGAGATAATGTTGGAAAACCTCTCTCGATCTCGATCTTCATACATGTGATACTTAGAGAACTTGACGTTTTCACATCGGAGACTCTTCGAACAACTATGTTCATATGAGTTTGGACCATGTCAAATTGATTAAGATGTCAACGATATTTTTTCAGTTCTCTTAACTCGTCTCTATGATGGCTGGTGCAGTCTTGCTCGTCATCACCGTCATCGTCGACGGAATCATCATTGTGTTGGGCGTGCGGGGAGCTGATGCACCGAGGCCAGTGCGTGAGAGCGCCGGCGGGAGCTACCCGGCATGCTGGAGAACGTACGAGGAGGCGAGAGCCAGCGTCGCTTCGTGGATGGCGAGGATGCACCACTGTCCCCAGTGATAGGGGTCCAGGCCACTAGCCATGGAGGAAACTCTATGAGAGAAGGTGTAATAATAACTATTATTCTCATCCCACTCTTTCAACCATTAATAATAACTATTCTTTAGTTAATCTCTATTTTTCAGCTCATACAAATGGTCGTATTCAACATTATTTTTTTATGTATGAATGGTCATCGATCACTTTCTCCTTATTCTTAAAGATTCAAACTTACTGGCATCTTATGGCACAGATGTCTACTTAGTTATTATCGTGTGATTTGTTTATTTCTTCGTGGAGGGGATGATCGATCAAACAAGTTTCAGAAAACTATACCGAGGCTGAGTAGATCAGAACGAGAGCAGCGTCACGAACTGATTGACACTTTGTTCGAGATCACCACCATCCTACAAATGAGCGAAAGGTGATTGGTGGAAGCAGGGCTCAATCTCGGTACTTGAAATTAACCTCCATCCTATCAGCTTTGCTCACTGGTTCTATTCTGACTCTTTTGTTCTTGCAGAGATGGATCTTTGATCAAATGTCGACCAAGCCATCGAGGAGGTCAAGGCACCACGTCAGCGTGGGGCCTGCAAGCACACTATTTGCTGACCTCCACCTCTCTACCACCTGCTCCTGCCATGTCGTCTTTTTGGATTTATATTTTTTTTAATCCAAACTGGAATAAATTTCATAACCAATCAAGGTTTCTCCATGTCGATTTCACTGTAAATTATAATTAAAAATCATCAAACTTACGAAACTAAGTTGATAGTGTTCTCAACAAATATCTCTCAGACGATCAAGTCAGTATTGAGTTTGTACGATTGAAACATATTAGATGAGAGAAATTTTTTCAGAGTTCTTTTATAGGAGACTCTGGGAACCATTATCTCTGAGATGATTGATGATTATGGGGAATGATCATACCTTATTCTAGATCACCTACTACTCCATGTCTTCTTAGTCTTATGATTAGGTGACAAAGCCAGCAAACACAAAGGTCCCTCCCTACACATGGTAGACCTAATATTAGATATGATGGTGGGTGGAATGCACATCACAATGACATGAACTTATCACTGGATTGAATCTGAAACATAAGTTTAGTTTCTTATTTGGATCTAAACATCTATCTTTGTCTTTTTGGAGTGTGCATTATAACTTGCATGAAACTTCACATGGTTTCAAAGGACATACATAATCTTTCTTTCTGAAAGCTCTTCCTTTAGCATGTGTTATTTTAGCACTCCTAATCACTATTTAGAATAAAACATGTGATCATGGAGAAACAAGAAGGTACAATAACTTATTAAGCATGGCAGAAATGTATGTCCTCAATGCCAGTGATTTTTGGCTGACAAAACACATGCTTTCAGGTTCAGAACCTGTACACTCCACTGTCCCAAAGTGTCATGACACCAAGAATCTCTATTTATTGACCTACCCACCCAGAAGTTGGAACACACACACAACAAAAAAGGGTACAAATCTTCAATTGTGTCATGCAAAGTTGTAGGAAAGTTTTTGACCTTTTGTGGATTAAGGATATGCAACATTCTGAAATAAATTTTTTGAAATTAATGTTTATGGGATGAGATTTTTCATCTTTAACTAATATTTTATGTATATAATTTCTGATAAATAAAGATTTAATGATTTAATTTCTGATAAATAAAGATTTTTTTGAAAGGAATGTTTATGGGATGAGAATTTTCATCTTTAACTAATATTTTATGTATATAATTTCTGATAAATAAATATTTAATGATTTAATTCTGATAAATAAAGATTTTTTTGAAATTAATGTTTATGGGATGAGAATTTTCATCTTTAACTAATATTTTATGTATATAATTTCTGATAAATAAAGATTTAATGATTTAATTTCTGATAAATAAAGATTTTTTTGAAATTAATGTTTATGGGATGAGAATTTTCATCTTTAACTAATATTTTATGTATATAATTTCTGATAAATAAAGATTTAATGATTTAATTTCCGATAAATAAAGATTTTTTTGAAATTAATGTTTATGGGATGAGATTTTTCATCTTTAACTAATATTTTATGTATATAATTTCTGATAAATAAAGATTTAATTTCTGACTAATGTTTTACTTCTTTGTTTTAAGTAAGAATTAAATATAAGCCCTTAATCTTTAATGAATATATTTAATATACCCACAAGATCAATATTTTAAGTAAGTAATAATTTACCATATAAAGTTTCAAAATTTCAACTTTTAGTACATAATCTCATATTCTACCCATAAAATAATTTTTTATACATAAAAAATTTATCATATAAAATATCAAATTTAAAATAATTGATAAATGGTTGAAGGCCCCTCATGGAGTGGGAGAGATTTTTTATGTATAAAAATTAATTAGAAAATATTTATTTGGTAAAGTATTTTTATTATTTTACAAGAAAATAAAATAACAAATAAAGAAATAAGCCAAAATTTTTTGGCAGTTTTGGGATTGGACTAATCTTTGTCATCTCTGTCAAAAATATTTTCTTTGCCTTTATTAGTCATTTGACATCATTGCATTTGTCTGAAACTTCCAATTTAATTACTTTCCAACCGTTTTTCACCCATTTTTTATTGCAGACAGACTCATGCAGATGTAGCAAATAATACCTCCAGATTGACGAGGAAACAAAAGAGAAGCGTTGGTTAGGAGGGATCTCCAGCCTCTGCCCCGTTCCTGGAGGCTGTGAATCGAGGTGATTTCTATTCAATCTCTCGTTCTGATCTCGATTCGATTGATTTCTCGATCGTAATTCGCGAAAAAATTGTATTTTTGGGAGAATCCATCGAAGAAGTTGCGTTTTTTTTTTCTTTCTTTTAATTTCTTGGGGTTCTTCCGCTATATCTCGGATTGAGGAATCGATGTTTGTGTCGCAGGCTGATCCCGATTATTAGGGAAACTGGGTTTGATCTAATAAGGATTGGCTATTTTGTTGTGCGTCGACGATTTCTTCCTCATTTGTTTGTGGATCATCTCGTCTAGTTCTAGTTCCAGTGCTGTATCGCTTATTGGGGCTCTCAGATTCTTGGAGGTGTTGGGGAAATCCGAAAGTTGGATCGAGGAGCCCTTGTCTGACAGAAATTTCCGAAAAATTTGCTTATTTGTTCCATTTCTTGATACAAGTCTGCGGTTTTTGTCCGGAGGGAGAAAATGGGGGTTATGTCGAGGCGCGTGCTGCCTGCATGCGGCAACCTCTGTTGCTTCTGCCCATCGTTGCGGGCACGGTCACGACAACCCGTAAAACGCTACAAGAAACTCCTCACCGACGTCTTTCCTCGCTCTCCGGTGAGTTTCTTCGTAATCTTCGAACTTGTATAGTTCTTTTCTTCGTGGCTTTTGATGTTGGATTGGAAACTGTGGTGGATGTGCCTCATTTTGTATCAAATATTTATTCTGGATGCTTAGATTTAGTTATCCCACTTCTCAGCTATGAGGTCCTTCAAAATTGCTGCTGAAGTCATAAAAGAGAGAGTATGTGGGAACTTGAATTAGCAAATAAAACTTGCCAGAAGCAAATTCATTCTTGAACCAAATGGTCAAATTCCTCTAGAATACTTGGTTTGAACATGCACACAATGTCTTTTGTGCTTACAAACTTTTTGCTGATTGCCAAACTAGCCTACCAAGCACAACTTCGTTCTGTATCACAATTAACTACAGTGAGGATTTATTATAACAAGTATGAAACTACTAACTTTTTCAGATCATGACACATGGCATGCTGCTCTGAACTGCTTTCTAGTGCATCAAACCTAATTTTTGCATTGTGGCATTTCCTTGCATCTACGAGCCATACATTGACAGGCAAAGCCATCCTTATTTTGAGAAGCTTTAGCATCTTCACTTGTCTGATCAATGGTGCCAGTTGGATAAACTGTTCAGGAATTATCTGGCAGCCCATTACATGAGGCGACGGTCCTTGCAAGTCCGGAGAGAGTCAATATACAACCTTATCAATAATGTAAATATGTTTTAGCCGGATGTTTGATGATACAGTCTGATTTTCTTGGACATTTGATTTTATCTTCACCCAAAAAAGAGAAAATACAACTATTGTGTATCCTTGATTCTTGTTCAACAATAACCTCACATAGAACTTTTGTTACATTGTATCTTTTTTTGATAGATGATGCAAATAAAGCTTTTGGAATGTGTCCATTTATCTATCTCTTGGCATGAAATGGAAGCAGGTTTTGAAAGAGGATCTTAGAGTGTCTAGGGTTGGGTTGGGAGGCTCTAACTAGGATCGAAACTAGAAGATTTAAGCCGATCCAAGATTTAAAGGAGGTTGTTTTTATAGATGAAGATTGCAATCTTTATGTATCACCTAATCTGTTTCTACATCAGCACCAGAAGAAAACAATTTCTTCTCTTTTGCTTAGAATAATACTTTTTATTTGCATAAATACCCATCCTTTTTTTAGGCAGGAGAGATGGCCACCATTTTTGCTTGCCTTTGAGGATTTTTGTTTGTTGATAGAATTTTGTATGTGAAATTGCAGGATGGACAACCAAATGACAGAATGATAGGCAAGCTTTGTGAATATGCTTCAAAAAATCCAATGCGCATCCCAAAGGTGCATCCCATCTTCATTGTAGTTCCTTTGCATGTTGCATTAAATTAACTTGTTGAATTCAGCACACTGGATGCTTATCTACACATAAGATGTTTCATTCTTAATGCTGATAATGTTTGAATTTGGGGCACAGCAGTCGAACTATGTTGCTATTGACTGAACCTAAGTGTCTGCATCATGAAAAATCAAACTAGAAAATGGTCCCTTAAAACTTAAGTTCTAAAACCTTTATGTGCTGACTTTTTTTTGGTGCTTAGCATACATGGCATAAATGGATGCCCTAGAAAAAAATAGTTTGTTGTAATGTCACAAAAGTGTTACCATCTACCTGTTATCTGAATTTCAAACTTCAGGATACAATAATGTCGATGTAAGTATTTGCAAATAAAAAAGGAATAATTGCTAGCACAATGGTTTAACAGGAATCTGTTTCATATTATACCATCTGCTTATCTACTCTCATCTAGAAGCTTAGAACCTATTGTTTGGCATTTGGAGCAAATTTATTGTGGTGGCCAATGTCACTCCTTGTGCAAATTCATGTTTTCTTTTGAACTCTATTGTAGATGTGAGTTATGTGGATGACACACACCGTCACCATTTCGCTACAGTTCAAAGATGGTAAAAATAGTAGTCAAGTAGGCATCAGCACATTCACAGGCCATAGACAAATGGTTGATGCATAGTATATTGAAGGAATGTTATACACTAAACTCTAACGTTCCTACTCTGTTCACATTCATGTACATTTTGATCTCTACAGGATTATGATATGTGTAATGTTAGTGACATGCATATTAGTATCAGTGAGTAGCTATCTTCCAAACGATGGAAATAATATCATTGAAATAGCATCTGCACATTCATTGGTCATATTTGGGACAGATTTTGGCACTTCCTGAGACTACGGGTCATTTTTGTTGGGTGTGAATTTGTTAATCAGGAAATGAACCATTATATGTAACACTAACAGAATGGGCCATGTTTTTGAACTAGACCATTGTATTTGTCTTTACAAATGGATCTGTTTTCTGTTAAGTTTCAACAGTTAAGATTTAGTTCTGTTCACTCCTGGGTGACCTCTCAAGAGTTATTTGTACTTTCTCAAGTTATAGATCGATCTTGAACACATGATGGTGCGTGAAGTTGCTTTTGATGTTGGTTAGATATTGATGACAAGTTTATCTAGGATTTGCCTTTACTTATTTATCCTTGATATAAAAGCCTTAAAATTATTCATGGTAACTCTAATTATTTTGTCTACAGATTACAAATTACTTGGAGCAACGGTGTTACAAAGAACTGCGAAATGGACAATTCAATTCAGCAAAAGTTGTGCCATGCATTTATAGGAAATTGTTAGCCTCATGTAAGGAGCAAATGTAAGTTTATTATGCTTCTCTTAGAATGTGGAAGTAAAATGCATAATTTGTTTTACAATAAGCTTTGCTTAAAGCTTCATAATTCTGCATTTGCAATTTACTGGAATTTTGTTCATTTTATTTCATTCTTTTCTAGTTGTCCGTTATGTGACTTGCTTGTTGAATCTAAATGTGTTGCTAGCTCTACTTGGTATGTGCTTTTTGAGTCAAAGGTGAAAAACTGCTAACTTATATCATTTAGTGAAAGAAGTACACAGAATAGCAGAAGGAAAACAGAAGAGAGAAAATTTTCAAATCAAAATTTTTTTTAATCATTCTCTCTCTAAGTTGAAGATTGCTTGCAAATCATCAAAAAAGAAAGTAATTCATGACAGATTTCTTGACTCTTGATGGAGAGAAACATTTGATGACATTGGCATGGGTAAAAGTTCCTTAATTTCCCTTCTAAACATCCTCTTAGGCTATTATTTCTTTCTCTTCACGTTTTTAAGAAACCAATATAAATAAATCATCCCAGCACCACTTGCATTCTTTGTCAAGATTGAGCTTTTTCCTATCAGCGTAGGCACCAAGTGCATTTGAGAGTCCTTAGATATTCTTAGCTGATATTACATAGTATGAGACTTTTGCATAAGGACAATGTTGTAGTATATGAAACGAGTTCTATTTACATTTCCACACTATCTGAAAGGTATATTTAACACTTCACTAGAACTATTTTTTGTAGCATGTTGCAGAGGAAATTACACCTCAACTTCGAATAAGAACAAAAAATAAAATCTCATTAGGAGTACCTCTAAGGTAGATTTCTTCATTAGAAAGGTATACCAAGTATGTGTAAGGATCATAAAGTTATACTTGGTGAAAGCTTGTTGATTATGATGATTCAACGTAGATTGATGGTATTAGAAATTTGTTGTAGAATAGGAAAGAGGAAAAAGTTAATAGAAAATTTTACTAGGATTAGATGGTGGATTTTTAAGGACAATAATGTAAGATTTTTCAAGTATAGAATGGAAAAGGAGAAGGGTTGGAACTTACATGGACATAATATTAAGATTATGTGGATCGTAATGGCTAATAAGGTTAGGATCAGAACAAACGGCATTCTTGGGGAATTTAAAGACAGAAATGACTTTAAGAGTTAGTTGACAGTAGTATGAGAAAGTTCAAAAAACAATTATTACTAAGAGATCTTGATAATTTTATGTAAGTTGATTATGTTTTTATCAGCATCTATAACATCAGAAATTTCACTGATATGTCAGATGCAACTTGATATAGATAAAAGTGAATGTATGATATTTTTTCTATGCATTTAATTTTCAAGTTCTAAATTCGTCTATCATGCACAAACTCTCTGGTAGTTTGTAGAGTATTGTGCTTAATTTATTCATATGAATTCTAAGTGTTTCTAGATTTTAGGTTGAGGTGCGTATCTGATATTTGGCTTCAGTCAATCTTTTAAATCTCTCACTTTCACTCGACTGCATGTAGGCCATTGTATGCTACGAGCTTGTTGAGCATTGTGCGAACTCTACTTGATCAAACACAGCAAGATGATATGCGCATTCTCGGTTGTCTGACGCTTGTTGACTTCCTTAACAATCAGGTAACTTATTTGGTGTTCTGTATGGTCTTCCATTTCTTGACATTTTGACATTTACATCTAAGTGAAGGAACTGTCCTATGATATTTTAAGAAACCTTACTTCAGTGAGAACATCACAGTAAATGCATTCTTAACATTGTTATTATATGTTCTTTCATGGTACAAGGGCATCTTGATATGTTTTTCTAGCATAATAAAATTCTGTTTTGTGCTGGTCAGCATGCCCCAGTGTTGGCATGTACAAGCCAAAAAATAGCCTATGTGTTGGCACCTCTGGTATGGATGACATGCTGGGTACCAATACATACTGTCATGATAAATATGCTGACGTGCTGATCGGCAGGTGTAATTCTTGATCAAAATTCAAAAGATCAGCAAAACAAATTGAATATAACATAAAATGGATGGAAGGAATTTTGCAAGGGACAAATGTTTATTCAATCAGCAGATCATTGGTTTCATGTGATTGGTATAAATGCAAGCAGGAAATGTTTTAATTGAAATATGATTCTCAAATTCAGATTACTTCATGTAAAGTGCAATGGGAGATAGCTTGCCAGATTACTCATTGGTTTCAGGAGGTCTTTTTTATCTCTTATTCTAAATTATTTGAAAATCCTCGATAATATAAACATCTCACCTCTTAATCTTTGAACTGGCTAGTGACCACAAAATATTGCTCTTGGGCTTCCACGGTACAATTTGAACTGACTAGTTACCATGAAATGATGCTCTTGGGTTTCCATCCTTCCTATGGATAGTACTGCAAGAGCTTGCTCTTCAAAAAGACTGTCTTCCACCTGCTTCCTAAGGATGAAATCCCTTATTAAGAAATTGTGACAATTCTCTATTTGGTTGACTTCCTTCCCTCTCAGATGACGATGAAAGCCACTGAAGATTACGATGGTTTTTCTCATTTTCTTCTTTTTCCTATCATACACTGTTCCTTTCTTTTCTTCATTTTCTCCTGCCAGCTTCCTTTGTTGGCTGGGTGGTATGCCAATTGCCCATGTCGACTACATGAACCACGTTCCTTCACTATCTGGACAGGTGTGTTATATGTCTTTGCTTGGTTTAAACAGCCTCAGTTACCTCGAAGAACATCTTGTTTGTTCCGTTATGGTCTATTATGTCTGGTGAGACTTCTTGAAGCTCCTGATTGGGTCTGTCCTTAAAACATGTTCAAATATCTCAGCATGTATGCTTTATTCATTAAAGGTTACTGGCACAAAAGTTTGGTTCTACTGCTTCCGGAAATAATTTAAGAAATAATAATTCTCCATTCCATAAGTTTCTTAGTTTTCTGTGCAATAAAATTTAACTCACGAGATGCACCTAATTGCCCCTTTGTGATATGCTTTTATGATAGGTGGACAGCACATACATGTTCAATGTAGAGGGTTTCATACCAAAGCTTTGCCAACTTGGTCAAGAAATAGGGGAAGATGACAGGGGACTCCGTCTGCGTTCAGCAGGGCTGCAAGCTCTTGCATCAATGGTACAATGTTTGCATATCGGTTCTGCAGAGTGCATATCAGTGGTTGATTTAATTGTTACACCTACATTAGTATATTCCACTATCAATTTGGTACAAGATCACTATAAAATTTATTAAGTTGTTTGAATCTACTGTCTCCTCGTACATCTATGATTCATTGTATTAAGATTTGGCTTAGAAAGATTGACAATGTGGAACAATGTGTGTTACCATTATATGATGCTGCTGGTAGTTTTTTATCATAGATGCTGTAGTTTATCTGGGCATATAGTTAATAAAGTTCAGATTAAGAAACATGAAGTTGGTCTTCAATAACTACAGTCCAGATTCCTCAATGAAAATCTAGGTTCCAAAACCATGTAGTGGGAAAAGTTTCACTGTTGTTACTCGTTTTTACTGCAGTGCATTAAATTTTCAGTAACTAAAGAATCCTAATTACATCCAATAATCTCTCTTCCTCAAGATACTTGCATCAGTTTTGTCTTTTCACATGCAGGTGCTTTTCATGGGTGAATACTCGCATATCTCAATGAACTTTGATGATGTAAGTTCTCTTTTCTATATTTCTTGTGTTGTGGCCTCAATGTTGAAGTCCAGATTAATATTACTATGTCCAACTTTACAATACTACAATACTTGTATCTAAAAGGTAATTTCATTTTCAGCTTTTACCAATTTAGATATTCATATGTACATTTATTGCCTGGTGTATGTCTTCGGTCCTACATTTCAGGAACATTCTCCACTGCAACATTGCATGAAATGCTTATATTAGCTAAGTGTGTAGTAGATACAAAATACTTATTCATCTTTCAGGCAATTGATTATGGAATGAGCAGTTTGAGGAACTATTTTCTTGCACGTTACTTTTGTCAATCAAAATTTAAACTTCTGACCAACATTTGCAATACCACCCGGAATGGTTTGGTACAGACAGTATTTACTTGTATGATAGGTTACCAGTACATGGATGAGTGTAAACCAGGCGGTATGCATGGTATTGGACTTGTACTAGGCAGTAGAAGCCATATACCATCCCGTACTGCCTTGTATAGGGTGTACATGCTCTGTACCGAGGGGTTCTTTTGTTTTTAACTTTTTTTTATTCTTTTCAAAACCTAGTTTGTATCAACATAACATTCGGTCCATTGGTATGGACTGATATTGTACCTATCTGAGCTTTGGCTGGTACAGTACCAGTAGATGAAACTGCGAACCTTGCTTCTCACTATTCTCAAGAAACAGAGTTGTTTTTTCTGGACTAATGATTCAAGTAATCCATGTGCTTGACAGTGGAGAGGTATTGAAAAGCTTTTGGGCCTCTCTTTTCCCTTTTTATACTAGTTTTTGGGCTGGCTGACTAGGAGCGCTATGCCAATTGACGCATGTTGGCATGGTGGAAATGTATTACAGTGGACATGTATCAATAGGCTTTATACCTATCTGTGCTGGAGAGGTTGGCATCTGATCTAGGCTAATATTTTTGGCCTATCCAACTGGCATAGGGATGTGTCAGCTGGCATAAAGTAAAGCTGTGTTACACTAAAAAGGTGTTGGCAGACCTCTGTGCCAAAAAAAGTCAGTACATAGGAATCTTGGTATCTAAATGATTGGCTATCATAAACAATTGTAGTTGTCCAGATCTTCTGGAATTTAAGGAATAATACTTTGTCAAAGAAATAAGAATACCATTGTCTCTTGACTCTCTTCATACCTCAGTCATTGAAGACAAACAAAGTCAGAACGAGCAGGATTGTCATATAACCTGATGAACTTGCAGCACCATAGAAGAATCATTACCAATGGCACGATTATAGGTAGCTGATACATCTTCTCTTGCAACAAGTTAGAAACCAAGATCATTTGAACCATTAGTTAGGAGTATTGTTGGTCCACTCATAGGAGAAAACACCCTTCCCCATTTACACAAACCAGTATAAGTTGGCGTGAGTGGTATAATGTTTTGCACAGTTATCTAAAATGTGTAATGTTTTGGGTTGTGGTAAGGTTGGGAGTGCGAGGATCGGATGTGCCACTGAGCTCATGGTAAGTCAGAACTTGGAGTGTTTCCATGTGTTTTATAGACAAGGTACCTGACACTCTTCAAAATTGGTTTATAGTACATGAGGGGAAAGTGTTTGGTTTCTTATTTTGAGCCATGGTACATATTAAATCAATTATTTGGGTTGCTTTTGATGTTGTATAGTCTTTTGGTATTTATTGACAGCTAGAAAGACATGAAAGCTATGAATTTTTTGACAATTTCTTTTGTTCAGTGTTCTTTTGTATTTAGCTTGGAAGATTCTGCAGTAGGAATATCTATATGGATTTTGTTTGTCAAGAGTTTGCTTTTATTATAGTGGATCCCCAACTTTGACAATATGAAATATGTATCATTTTGTTCTAATATATAACAGTGTTATGAATTGGTATGCAAAAGCCGTAACATGGCTCTGAAGGGGTAGGGCTATCCTGATATCTATGGTTTCACACCACCAATTCATACGGTTAACCTAACATGTCAACTGAATTTTTTTTCAATGTGTAACTTTTCAATCTATGATAAAGATTTATGAACTATTTTCCTAACAAGTTTGAAGATCATATGTCTAAAATGAAAATTTAGAATCATCATTTTCATCAGTCATTTCATAATTTTTTAATACATGATGGTTGAAGAAACTGTAGTATCTTAGAGATGGAAAAGGACTTCATATGCAGTGCATATCTCAGCATTAAGAAATAGAGCCAATGCAACACATTTCTTTTAAAGCCATTAACTGCTAGCTGTTTTAAGTCACACATGAAACATTGGTTGGCCATGCTAATTATGACAATATGTTCCACAAGTGAAGCTATTGCTTGCCTCTCCAACTTTGACATGTCTTTTGTAATATTCTTCTGTGCTAAGAAACTGCCTAGTTTTTGAGTGATATATATTGCTTGATTTCTTCATAATGATAGTTTTTGGGTTTAAGCATTTTATGCCACATGTTACAAACATATTTTATACAAATTATTGTATTAGTAGAATGTTTTTTTTTGTTTGTGTTTGGTGTCATAGTAAGTTTGTAACTCTGTCAGTCTCTTCATCTGGACTGTGATACACGTAGATGGTTACCACATATGCATCAATATGGAAAGATTTTCAACCTTTTTTAAGGAGTGAACCCTATAGTTGGATTTTGGACTACCTTGACAGCATTAGGTAAGATTGTAACAACCTAGTAGCCATACATGGTGAGATGGGCAATGTTTAGATTAATATATGTACGACTTGATGGGTTTACTAATAACATTTTGGCCTTGGCATTTTATGCCTGGTGATTAAGATGTTCCAAACAAGTGATTGGATTATAGACATTTGGTTTATACATTTTTGCTTGCTATGTTTTTGCTAATTATCCTACCAGAAATGCTTAATTTTCTCTGTTTGTTGGTTTTTATTTTCTGTTTTTTATTATAAACAGATTGTGTCAGTGATATTGGATAATTATGAGGGTCATCAAATAGGCTTAGGAAACAGTAAGCAAGATTTTGAGTGCAATGAACATCAGAATCATTGGGTGGAAGAAGTTGTCAGGGCAGAAGATAATGTCTCGTCTTTCCAAGACTCCTGGAAGAAGGTTCTCTCAGTACATCAGAGCACAACTATTGAATTTGATGCCACAGTGTGAGAACTTGTGTTGATTTGATTCTCTTTATGGAACATGCCCACTTTCTTCTTCTTAATTCTTACATCTTCATTTGTAAGCAGGGACTCCTCAAAAAGCCCTACATACTGGTCCAAAGTTTGCTTGCAGAACATGGCTAAACCTGCCAAAGAAGCGACTACTGTAAGGCGTGTTTTGGAACCTCTTTTCCGTAAACTTGATAGTGGGAAATATTGGTCTCCTGAGAGAGGAATTGCTTGTTCTGTGTTATCTGAAATTCAGCTTCTAATGGAGAATACAGGTGAGCTGTGCTGTTTGTACTCTTCTTTGTTTGTGAGGCTTTTTCTAATTTAGCAATTACCTATGTCTTCCAAGAATCTAATATGGCCCATCTTTTTTCAGGACAAAATAGTGATCTGCTGATATCTACCTTAATCAAGCACATAGATCATAAGAGTATAAGCAAGCAACTTATCACGCAGGTCAATATTATTAATGTAGCTAGGCATCTTACGCAGCAGGCTAAGTTCCAAGGCTCACTGTCTATTATGACTTCTATAAGTGAATTGATGAGGCATTTGCGCAAATGCTTGCAATGTTCAATGGAAGTATCAAATCAGGGTGATCTTGATGTTGAAAAGTGGAACTCTGTCCTTCATTTTTCCTTGGAAGAGTGTCTCGTACAATTAGCAAATAAGGTTCTTTCATCTTCCAAATTCATAGATGAATTTTGAATTAGATTTCTCAACATAAGATATTTTGGTTGCTCTTTAAGATTTAATCATTGGCAGCCATTGGGCTTCGGGCTTTTCTCACATTCTTTATGCACTGGTACTTGATTAACAGGTTGGGGATGTTGGACCTATTATTGGCATCATGGCTGTCCTGCTGGAAAATATTCCTGCTGCTGCTACTGTAGCCAGGGCAACAATTTCTTCTGTTTATCGCACTGCTCAGCTAGTTTCTTCAATCCGTAACTTGTCATATCAAAAGAAGGTAACATCTTATTTTTGCTCTTTGTAATTTCCAATGTTATATAGAGAAAAAAATGTTGCTATTTCTGTTTCAAGTTTATCACTTTTGCATTTATAATACAGGCTTTTCCAGAAGCTCTATTTCACCAGCTGCTTTTAGCAATGACACACCCTGATCATGAAACAAGAGTCGGCTCCCATCGCATCTTTTCTGCTATTCTTGTGCCCACAATTGTTTGTCCTTGGTCAATTCCAATTATTCCACTTGCTTTTAATGGATATGATCCAGAAGGAACAATTCTGGTAGCTCTCTCAGGTTTTGCTCCTTCAGGAATCATAATGGAGAAGTTCACACACAAGAGTTCCTTTGGGAATGGATCCCTAGATAATACAAAGGAATTAGGTGATGCAATGAGAAACAGGATGGAGGACAGATCACAAAAGTCTAGTGCAAGCTTTAAGCAAAATTTAGTTCACCCATCTCAGAGTGACAGTCAGAGCACTGTGTTTTCTCACCTATCTGCAGTGAATGATGGAAAAGCCGTCAGCAGATCTGGAGAAGAAGTAGGGCACTTATAGGGACTAATAATGACATTTTACTATCTCATTTGTTATTTGATGGTTATTCTTACTTCAATATGATTTCTGTGATGTATTGCTCTCTTACATAGGAGTTGATCTTTATGCGATTGAGTAGCCACCAAGTGGGTCTTCTGCTCTCATCAATATGGGTCCAGGCAACATCACCAGAAAATGCTCCTTCAAATTATGAGGCACTGGCACACACTTACAGTCTAGCTTTATTATTTTCTCGAGCCAAGGTGAGTTTCTCTTGGACAAGTTTCTTATGACTGATGAATAATATTCAATGATTTCTTTTACCATGTCTAAACAATTTGAGTAACATCTGTTCGGGGCAAATTGTACTATGCTGTTTGGAAAGTTTTGCATGTATATACTTCTCAGATGTCTACTGAGCCCAGATAGTTGGGGGACCTCACAGCTTGTATTGTTGTACTTAGACCCAGCATTTATTAATTTTCACTGAATTCATTGTCACTTTCATTGTTTTTATAGTCCATATTTCTGCTATCTGTCTACCTGAGCACTTAGACTCAGGTCAGCAGTCCAATATGCAGATGGGAGCATTACACCAGGATACAGCTGTATCCTTCAAGCATAACCAACTTAGTTTTTGACCAAATAGTGTGCCATCCTAGCAACTATCAACAATATGAGCATATATCGAATTAAGAATTTATGATGGTACCCAAACGTAGGGGAAGAGGTGGAGGAGCAAGAGAAGGAGAGCAATACTTGGGCAGTGGCTGCGGATGGTGGTGGCCGGGAGGCTGGCATTTAGAGAGAGAGGGAATTTAACTCTAAATAGAAAGAAGAACCTAAGCTACATTGGACCACCACCCAAAACTAGCTGGTTCATGTGCTGGTTCAATGTCAGACTAAATACTGCCAGATATGGACAGGTTCAGACAGTATTCAGAACCCTACCTCTTATATCCTTCCTTGATCTTAAGGTTCCTGTAAGCACTTGATGCTTTGCTCAATCCGTGTCCCATTTTTTGGTCAGACCGGTAAATGACCGATCAGTACAGACTCCAATCGGTTTTTTAATCCTTGTCTTAAATATCTTTTAAACATTTCAGTGATCTCTAAGTTCCTGTAAGCACTTGATGCCTATGTAATTTAATGAAGGACAAGTTGTTTGTAGGTCCTATGTCTTGTCTAGTTCCAGGTAAAGTCATACCTTTTTTTAAAAACTTTTGTAGAATGTGATTTGTGGTGATTATTGTCCATGCATTTAGAATAATAGACTTGCTTTTATGTTATTTAGTTATTGGTGCACTAGTTTGAAAGTTTAGTTGTCCATTTAGATGGGATATCTTGGAATTCCAAGAATCATAAGAAGGGAAATGTTGTTCCATGAATACTCATATTATTACAAGGTCATATTAGTCGGGCTTGGATAAAAAAATATTATATGCAAGGGTCCATGAAGATAATTTAACAAGATTTATTTTGATAAATGAAGGTTTCATTAGGCCTTGATACTTTTCTCTTCTCTAAGTTATTTCTGCTTTCTTCTTTCTTGTTATTCTCCTTTTTTCTTCAGAGTTCAGACTAGTATTGCATCATTTTCTGTTGGAGAATAAATTAAAAGATCACTACTTTTCTTTCCATATTTTTGTTATTTTTCATAAATAACCACATATCTTTCATATTTCCGCTTTTTAGCAGTGTGTCTTGTTATTTTATATCAGATTAGATCTTCCACTTATTAGTTCTGGCACTATACACTATATCTTGCCTTTCAATATTATTCTCAAATAAAATTGTAAATTTTGTAGTATGTTTAATCAAGGTTTATAATTTTGATCCATACCAGTATACCGACTAATGGTCGATATGGTACGGAGGCATACCGATGGTATGCCCAAAAATATAAAAAATAACTCCAAAAACACCTAAGAAATAGAAAAAGAGGAACGCAGGACGTTTTCAAAATGCTCAGAAACTGAGTTTTAGTTGATATGGCTGAGTTTTTGACTGAACAGGCTGGTCTGCCTACATTAGTGGAGGTATGCCTGGTTCACACCAAAAGACAATTCCTTGTTTTTGAACATTATAGATAAATGGTTTATATTGTTTGACAAGCTGAAGCACTGACCAACTGTCTTTTATACTTCATTGATTTGTGTTATTATTCTTTTGAAATTTCATTACTTATTTTCAAATGAGTCATGACTTGGAAAAGAGGAAACTGCAGATGTTGGATACTACATGAAATCAATTTTGTGGTACATCTTTCAACCAATTACTATGTAATATCAAGTTATCAACACTCCTGTTCTAAGAACATTTATACTGTTATAATCTTACTCCTTGTTTTCCAGCGATTAAACTTTTTTTTTTTCATATTTGCTTAACACTTCCATGTACTCTTGTCAGAACTCGAGCCATGTGGCCCTGGTCCGTTGTTTTCAGTTAGCATTCTCTCTGAGGAGGATGGCTGTAGACCATGAAAGTGAGTTCCTTGATCACTATGCTACTTGTTAGTTTCCAGTATGATCACTATGCTTTTGGTGATGCAGTGCATATTAGGTTTTTCATGCCAGTTGGAATTGTAGCTTATTCAGTACTAATGAATCTCATTTTCACATGTTCATGGTCGATTCACTTATTTTTGTTGGGAAAAAAATTATGTGAACATTTTTTGTCTTGTCAAGAGTCATCCTTCTGATCAGGAATCATGTAAATATTGGCTGCTTCAAGTTGAGCAAATATTGGCTGCTTCATGTAAATATGTGGACACAAGAATCATATCATGTGTCCACATATTCAAACTTTGTGAATATCTGGATAAGTTTTGGTGGTTACCATGATCACCCATCCTTATCATTAACAGGATACAAAATTTAAACATCAAAGATTTCAAAGGTAGGATAAAGTCAGGATTTCATCTTATGTGGGTTGATAGATATATGCTTATACAAGATAGGAATGTATTTCTTCCTTAATGAATTTCGAACTATAGAGGCATTTAACATTGTAGCAGTCCTTTTTTTTAGTCAACATAAATTTGTGGCTTTATGGTGCTCTTGGTCATTAATTGCTCATACTTATGCTGCCTTCCTGGTTGGTATGTACCATGGCATTTGCTTCTTGGTTAATGTCAGTACAATGTCAAGTACAGGGCACAAATAACTTGATTTGCAACTAGGGCATGATAAGGCACAGGCGACAAGTATACGCCAGTTCATTATAATGGATTCGTGTTACAACAAGATAATAGATGCTTGATTATGTGCTAACTTGTATCATCTCAAACTTTGCATTATTACTGTATCATTGTGTGTGACATTGACTCAATTATGTTGTTATTGATGGCTGCATTGCTAGACCATGCAAGTCAAGTAGGTCAAAATTTGAATGTCTTTTATTTGAATGCTATGTAGTAGGTGGGCTTCGATGCATGAACTGTTAAATTCTCTCATGCAGTCAGTCCTAAGCTCAGATAAAGGAGGAAGAATGCTTAGGTAACTAGCGGTCAGCATACGACTTTTTTTTAGAAAAAAATTATTTAATGGTTCTATACGGGAAAGGATTTATGTGGCCAATTCCAAATAGTTGAAACCTACAACTTGTTAAATATTATGCAGATTTATTCCAATTTAATTTAGGTTTGGTTTGAGTAAGTCATTAAGATATTAGGACTCAAGTTTTGAAAGAAATAGTTACATTTTGGATTGGTTCTTCTAGGACTATGAATTAAACTAAGAATGAAAAGTTTTAGCCCATGCGTTAGTTTAGTTTGGATTTGAATCCTTTCATAAATATGACGGATTGTTCAGCTATATGTCTTTGCTACTGCCATAGTGCCTTTCTTCTTTACCGAGCTTCTTTGGTTTCACCATTTGTTCTCTTCTCCTTGCCTATACTACTGACAATTACTTCGGTTTTGTAACAGTGTCTAAAGGTTCTCTTTCCTCTTCTTCACTAGTGTAGTTTCTAGTTCTCTCAGACTCTTTGCCATATCTGTGGAAGATGCCTTTCTCTTGCTGTATTGATTTGAAATGTCATTAGATCTTGTTCTATTCTTATAATTTACAGCAAGAGAGCTGAAATTTTCTTTGGTTTTTGGAATTCCACTTGCAAATTTCATACTGAAAGCTCTCTTTTGGCTATATTCATGTCCTCTTATATCTATTCTATGTTTTTATTGTTTCTGATATTTTATTTTTACTTGTGGTTTGGTGACATCTGTATTCATTTGCAGCATTCTTTGATAATCAACGAATCTATTTGGTATCTAGTGGATTTGTAGGATTTTGGGTCTTTAGTTGCATTTGTACTTGCTGCTTTTAGTCTGTTTGTAGGTAAACAAATGTTTGTTAAATGGGTATTTGTTGCAGATAAAATTCCGGATAACCCAATTGCTGGCAAACAAATTGCTTCTTCATAATGCACATGTGAAGGAAAAATCCTTGAAGGTGTTTGCTTTTGTAGGGTGAAAAGATGGATAAGTTGGGAGTGACGAACAGAGCTAGGATGGTTTAGTAACAATAAAATGTTTTAGATATTATCATAATTTTTTCCTATTGAAAGGACGTACAAGGAATTTGTTGTTCTAAATTCTGATGAACATACAAAATAAATCTGGAAATGATTATCAATATATGAAGGAAAGTGATGTATGATACATTTGAAAATAACTTCTAATTAGTTTTTGAGTTACACAAAGGCTAAAGACAGTGGTTATTGTTGGAGTAGGTATCAGTGGAGTAACAGCTTGTGAATCAAGTTGGACTTGTACTATCATTTAAGCTGAACAGATATGGAAGTCTCGTTTCATGCCCTGGATTGTGGTTGGGATGCAAGAATCATCAAGTCATATGAATAAAGTTTCAGATGATACACATGTCTCTTTAGATAGTATATAGTAACTAAGTGTTTCTAGCAAGGGAATGCCTTTTAACATAATTTTGTTAGTTTAGTTAGGACAAAGTTTAATCAGTATATTTATTGTTCTTTTCTTGAACCGGCTTGGCATGACATGACATAGCAAGACAAGCAGCATATGTATATCGGTTTCTTGATTTACATGGCACCTTAGAACATTATCATTTCCAACAATAGCTAGAGCATATTAATAAGATTAACTATGAACTTTTTTGTAGCTTTCTACCAGAATGAGCTTTGGTTATATACCTGGTAGTTAAGTTGTTTATCTAACTTTTACACACTGACTTCTGCTTTGTTCTTTTCTCAAACTTCTCGTTCTTGCAATTACCACAGCGTTGATTTTTTTTCCTTTTGCTTTGAGTTGTATAAATTGGTGTTTCATAATCTGTCAGTATTCATACAATAAATATCTTTGATTTTTGTGGCCAATGGCATGGAATATCTGGTGATTTTACTGGAAAACAATTTAAACATCTGGGAAATTGTACTGCAAGTCTTAAAGAGAAGTGGTAGTTGTATTGTATTATGTTCTTGTTGTGCACAGTATGCTGGTTATATCTAGAAAACAAAACTAGTACATGCAGTTTGTTGAGGAAAGATGGAGTCTTAGTCTAAGAGGAGTTCAAATCATTTTCTTCATCTTGATTTAACATTATATGCTTGCCACACAAATGAGCATTCAACATCAGGAAATTCCTGTGTATTGAATGCCCATGATTATCATGATGCTGAGTAATCTGCAGCATTTTTTTTCCATGTCATGTTTGAATCTCTTCATTCTTCTGCAGAAAAATGCTTTGTATATGTTGTGTACCCCATGTGGTAGGACTTTTGATATCCACATCATGAAAGTGCCTACAAGCCATATCTTTTGTGGTTCTAACCTATCGCTAGTATTGAAGACTCTTTGCAGCCTTCTCGTAGAAGATGTTTGTATACCTTGGCATCCTCCATGCTTATATTTTCTGCGAAGGCCGGTGATCTGCCAGAAGTAGTTACTTCTGTTAAATTGATGGGTAGGATGGTATGTAATTTTGTATCATTTATGCACTAAATATGTATATATTCTACAGGATAGGATCTGGTAGGTTTTTACTATGTTCTCTTTCTTTGTTTGGAATCCAAATGTGTAATCATGTTACAGGTAGATCCACACCTTCATCTAATTGAAGATAGCTGGCTGCAAGCAACCTATTTTGGATCTTCCAGTAATGTTTATGGCTCTGAGGAAGATGATGTTGCTGCAATGGAGTTCCTTGAGAAATTAGAAAAGGATGATGAGCAACTAAAACAATCTGTCATTTCCCACATAATGAAGAAATTTGAGAAGCTACCTGAGGTAAATCCATGTATATGCACATGCTATCAGCTTGTTGACAAATTCTTATTTACTGAACTTTTACTTTCAAATGTGTTCCATTTTAAGTCAATGAAATTGATAGGAAAATAAAGTTCTTTTAATGAAATTGCAGGAAAAACTACTTTCTTTAAGAGAGCAGCTCTTGCAAGAATTTTCACCAGATGATGCTCTGCCACTTGGTGCACCATTGTTCATGGAGACACCTTACCCATGTTCACCTCTTGCACAAAAGGGATGTCAATCATGTGATGAGGTACCATTTCTCCGATTCAGTTATCGATAAGAAGTCGCGCTATTTTCTTGCATCTTATCTCTGGATGGTCTTTTCTGTACAGGTCATGACTCCTACATTTTTGGAGGATGGAGACAACTTGTCAGATGCATTCAGAAGTCAATCGGATCGGAAGATGTCGGAGTCTATGAATAATTTTGATGTCTTAAGTGTTAATCAATTGATTGAATCGGTATGTATAACTTTCTAAATCTAGCATGAGCAATATATTAATCATATTATAATGAACAATAATTTGCCCAGACTCAATCAGGTCAGCTAAGATTTTAAGGCCAATGTGCTTTCTGTGTAAACTTTTAGCAGAACTACATGAGGTTTAGCTGTATCAACCGTGATGCTATTAGTGACTAGGTTCTGACACGTGATCATAATATGCATAACCTTCAAGAATCAAGGCTGCCATGAAAATGTCCATCTAGTTCAGTTTACTTTAGTTTCTTCTCTTGTTCCTCTTTTCTTACATGCTTGATACCAATTAGAACCTAAATCACACATGGCATATCGATCATGTTTCTAACATGATGGGGCTTGCATAAAACATCATTCGGATATCAATAAAAGTTCAATAAATATCATCACTCAAGTATTATGAACTTTTTGCTTAATATGATTCTAAAAGGTTAATGTTGCAGATAATTGTTCTGATTATTTTTTTGTTTACTTAAGATTCACAAGTGACTCGAGAGTTTCTTCTGCCTATTTGTTTCAAGAGACTGAGAAACTCTTGATAGTGACTTACAGCTTGGAAAATGCCATTCTCATTGTATACTGAAACATACTTATGATTATTCTCTGAGTTCCGAGCAGTCAGGATGGCTATTCTTGTTGCAGGTTATTGAAACAGCACGACAAGTTGCTAGTTTGCCAACTTCGACAATCCCAGTACCTTATGACCAAATGAAAAGCCAATGTGAAGCCCTCGTGATCGGGAAACAGCAGAAGATGTCTGTGCTCCAAAGCTTCAAGCATCAGCAAGTAGACTGGAGAGTTGTGCCCGAAGAGAATTTTGTTGATTCGGTGGACGCTCACCAGGCAAGTTTACCTAAATATTTCAGATTAGCTTGCTTATCGCTGAGTGGTTAAATGACAACAATATTGTCTCTGTATCCCTCGTGCTCTTGTACCAGACACCGCATCTTCCGGAAGCAGTGTTAAGCTTGGATGAGAAGGAGCACGTTCGACGTAGCAATTCACTGTCAAGTGAGTCTGAGCAGTCATTCAGGCTGCCACCTGCAAGCCCATACGACAAATTCCTGAAAGCTGCTGGCTGTTGAGCAGATCCACGAATGTTTGTGGGTCGTGATTAGTCTGATCTATAGTGATGTTAAAGGTTTTCATATCATCTTTTCTTCAATTTTTTTCTCTCAAATTCTGCAACTGTAAAGAAGAGATGCGTGTGACAAAGTGTATATTTTTTTCCCCTTTATTCGAATAAAATGTCATTCTTAAAAGCTACACATCATTTCTGCATCCTCGGTTTTGAGGTGCACAAATCTAATGATTCACTTCATTGATACAAAAACCAGTGAAGGGTTCATGTGATATTATGTTTGCTATATATCAGTATTCATCTCCAAATTTTTTGCAATCTGAAGTTAATTAGCCCATATTAACTAAAAGTTGTTATTTGAATGATGTTCTTGGTGTGTCTTTCTTCCTTCTTTTCAAGAATGCTTTGGAATATCCCTCTCTGAGAAAAGCATCATCAACATGTTTGAGATATTGCCTCAATCATCTGATCTATAGCTATTTTCTGTGAAATCAAATCCGATAATTACTGATAACATATCGAAAGGCTCAGATTAGCAGCAGTTTGGATGAAGAATACAAGCCACTTAATAACATCATTAAGCTCTGGTAGACTTAAAGGTGCAGGAGAGAGGTAAGACGGTCAACGTTGTCTCTTGCAACGAACGGAAGTATTAAGCCTTCTTTGTTAGTGCTATATTTACACACACAAATATGAAAGATATATAGCAATGGTGGAGCAAGAGCCATATTATTTGTAATATGAAATATTAATCAACATAATATAGCTTTTTTTTTTATTTCTTTGATATATTTCAAGAAAGAAAAACTAAATAGTTTTCGGAAGAGAGACATCTAGCATAGTGTTATATTGGATGTCGATTAAGGCAAATGATCATGATGTTGCATACCCCAGTTGATGTTACAACATTCCATGATAGTTAGCAAGTGGGTTAAAATTAAGATTTATTTATAAGAGTTTTATAGGTATTATTATTACATTTTAAGTATTTCTAGATCAGTGGCTTAGACTCAACAATGAAGTCAATTATTTTATCAAGTCTAGTTGTAATAATTAGTATGAGAGTCGACATAGTATTGAAGCATGATAAAACCTATATTTTAAGATAAAATTCATCACATCAATCAGACTTTGTTTATTAAGATAAAATTGGAGTTTCTTCTAAGGTAATTACATATGCAAACTTATTAGAAGAATTGAATGTACTTCCATCCTACCATCTCTAATTGAAAGAAGAATACATGTGTGTGTATAACATAAACTTCTAATATGTTTGCCTCCAACAAAGAATATTGGTTGATCTTTTCTAGTAGTCCTTATCATCGTTATTATTAGATGGGGAAGAACTTCAACTTAGTCAAATATTGGATCGATGGTTTGACTAGTGAGCTAATTTTTTTGAAAAATTATAATATATATTATGTTAAAAAATATAAGATAATATTATTAAATAATATTTATAATATAAAGGAAGAGGATAATAGGGACCTCTAGAAATGAGAGAGTAACAAAAAGTTGACGTCATTTAAGTGGTTCAATAATTTAATTAGCGAATCAATTTTTGGAAAAAAAATAAATTTTATAATTGGAAAAACCTTTCATCTTTATAAGAAAAACCTTTCTCTTTCATCTTTATAAGAAAATCCTTAAATATTATTGGAAAAAAATAAATTTTTTTGATGACGAACAAAAAGTTGACGTCATTTAAGTGGTTCAATAATTTAATTAGCGAATCAAACCGATCGCGAGTTAGACTCTTTTGCCAAATGATTTTATAATTATGATTTTTATGAGTTAAATGAATAAAAAAATCTATGCCATAGTTCGAGTCATGAAAATAATTTTTTTATTTTTTAAAATAAGATTACGACATTGACCTTATATTTTTTTAAATATAAGTAAAACTATCTCAGGACACTCGCCAATATTCAATAGATAAGTTTAAAACACTATATCATTTAAATGACATCTTGTAATTAAATTACTTGTGAAGCAATTTAATTATTGTAGATGAATTTATTTTTATGATTTTTTTATTTTTTTATTTAAGTAGTAATGGTCAAAATCATAGTTAAAACTGGTCAACAATTAAATAGAGGGACCGGCGGTCCGGTTGGGATTTATAACTATGGTCAAAATTCCTCTTTGGAAATTTGATTTAGTCAATGGACAAACTGAACACAACAACAACGGATGATAAAACCCGGTCAAAATGTTGACCAGTGGATGGCATATCAACGGTCATATTAACAACCTTTTGACTCCGCTTCGGAAATGGCGGGAACGGCTTCCTCCCGCCAAACCCGGGAGACCAACCAAAAGCGTCGCCCCTCGCCCTCTTCCCCTCCTCCTCCCTCCTTTGAGAGGAGGAGAGCGAGAGGCGAGAGAGGAGGGAGGCGAATGGGAGGTTGCTACTCTGCTCCATCTTCTAATGACTCCTTCGTCGACCGGAAGAAGAAACCGAGCCTCCACTGCCTACCCTCCTCCTACACCGACGACGACGATGACGACGACGAGAGAGACTTCGACACCCGTCCGTCCTCACCGCTCTCCATCCTCGACGGCCTTCCTGCCGTCGACTTCCTGCAGCGTTACCTCCTGGGGGCCGAGCTGGGGCGGGGCGAGTTCGGGGTGACCCGGCGCTGCACCGACAACGAGACCGGCGAAGCCTTGGCGTGCAAGATCATCTCCAAGAGGAAGATCAGGAGCATGGAGGACATGGTCGACGTGCGGCGGGAGGTGGAGATCATGAAGACCCTGTCGGAGCACCCCAACATCGTGAGCCTGAGAGAGGCCTACGAGGACGGCGAGTCTGTTTACCTCATCATGGAGGTCTGCGAGGGCGGTGAGCTCTTCGATAGAATCGTAGCAAAGGGCCACTACTCGGAGCGTGCCGCAGCAAACGTTGCTAAGACGATCGTCGAGGTTGTTCAGGTAACAGAGCTGCCATGTTTTCCTAGCTATATTCAACATCAAACTTGTTTGAGATGCGTTAAGTTCATTTGATTCCTCCAAGAAATGATACTAAAATCCTCTTCAGTATCATTTGCTCAATCCTATATAAAATGAAACCTGGTGGATAATGTTAACAGAGTACAAAAGGTTGGTTTTCAGATTCCTTTTCAAGTTGAATGAACTACTCTTCTAGTAATTCGAGCTCGAGTTCCTGAATTGTTCAAGTTAATTGTGCCATTGCACATTAAGAATTCAGTTTTTGATCTCTGGTACTGCTTTGATCAGCATTTATTTTTAGTTAAGTAACTTCTCCTGCAGCTGTGCCATAAGCATGGGGTGATACATCGAGACTTGAAGCCTGAAAACTTCTTGTTTGCGAACAATTCAGAAGATTCACCCTTAAAGGCGATTGACTTTGGCCTCTCTGTGTTCTTCAAACCTGGTAGGCATAATTTCCTGTATGATGGCCTTTTGCTGTATGCATAATTCCAAGTTAACTTGCTGCTATAGGTCAGCGATTCACCGAAGTTGTTGGAAGTCCATATTACATAGCACCTGAAGTCCTCAAAAGAAGCTATGGACCAGAGGTAGATGTATGGAGTGCGGGGGTTATTCTTTACATTTTATTGTGTGGAGTTCCACCTTTTTGGGCAGGTAAACATGGATATCTATTACATCGTCATAATTGTTTGACTGATACAGATACTTGAGTTAACGGAACCGAGCATATCGTGAGGACTGATTTAAAATCTATAACCGGCATTTGCTGTTAATTTTTGCAGAAAATGATGAAGGCATCATCCAGTCAATTCTTAACTCTTCTATAGATTTTGAAAGAGAACCTTGGCCAAAGATATCCAGAAATGCGAAGGATCTCGTGCAGCTAATGCTAGATCCTAATCCATCAACCAGATTGACAGCTCAGCAAGTTCTTGGTATTGATTTTTTTTTCCTTTTTCATCTCAAATAAATTTTAGGAAAGCATGGTTATACTTGAAACAGACTACATTTCTGGGGAATCTCTCTAACTATCAAAAGGCATTCATGTAATCTTTGTTTGCATGTTTTACCATCATAATCATTTCACAGAAATCTGATTCTGCAAACTTGAAGGTTGTCAAATCACAATTCACAAATGGCAAGAATTACACAATTTTGTGATGTATGGAAATTTTACATGACAGAGTATCAAACTATCAACTAATTTTTGCTCTTGATTTTGCAAAAAAAAAGATCATCCTTGGCTTCAGCATGCTAACAAGGCTCCCAATGTCTCACTCGGAGAAACTGTGAGAACAAGGCTCCAGCAATTCTCAGTCATGAACAGGTTCAAGAAGAAAGCCCTCAGAGTAAGTGCAAACATTTTAAGGACCTTGCTACTACTCTCAAGCAACATTCTTTTTGCTGCTGAAAAGATTTGACATGCCATACATATGATGTGCCATAGGTGGTAGCTGAGCAATTGCCGATAGAAGAAGTAGCAAATATTAAGAAGATTTTTTATATGATGGACAAGGACAAGAATGGGACTCTAACCCTCGAAGAACTAAAAGAGGGTTTGCACATAATTGGGAATCCTGTTCCGGAACCAGACGTTAAAATGTTACTGGAAGCGGTAAGCATTCTTGGTGATTCACATCCAATTTGCATCATGAGTTTGCTATCTCTGATGCTCAAGTTTATGCTACTATAATTAGATTTATGCATTTATTATTCAATGAAGTGACCAGAAGGGGAAAAAAAAGAAGATTGATGAATACTGATGAAACTAGACACGTTTGAACTACTAGTCAGCTGAGTTACTATATTAAGGATCTAAACTGTCCATCATGCTTCTGAAATTGCACTTGTTTTAATCAAAATCCATCATTCATTTTTTTCACTAAAGTGGAGCTGGCCTTCATATTCAAAATTTTGCTTTAATTTATCAGTGTTTTGACACAACCTAGTCTCATAAGCAGAATGACAGCATTATTATGATACTCTTAATATCAAGATATTTATTACTATAAATCAGGTTATGAATTATGATTTCAGCAACATACATGAGGGAACAATCTCCCCTGCTGCTCATCCTAAGGCCTGATGAATAGTCCAGAATAAGCCCAACTAAATATCATAGACTCATCTAACCATCACAACAATCAGCCACTTCTGATGCGGAACTAACCCGGTTGTAACAAATTTAATGGTTATTATATAAATCTGCCAAGCGAAAGTAGTAGTAGTTGCTGACATATTCTTTTTGTTTTTGGCACACTACTAGGGGTTCAGATGCTATTTGAGAATAAAGCTTAGAGAATCTGGAAGCCATATGTATTCCTTTCCATGCCTTGCTATGAATATAATCATTGCATAAATAGTTATAAGCATGTGTCCATAAATGTAAATAAGATTACGGAAAGCTTTCTTGCAGTAAGCATCTAATGGCTAGATCAACAGTCTGAAAGCTGGAACTGATCTTTGTTTCTGCAATTTCCACTTTCTTGATTGATTTTTTATAAATAAACCCTATGTTTTGTTCTTTGCAATAATAAAATTGCATAATTTTATTGCTGACATATTTTAAGCTCATATGTTATATACATCACTAGGTTTCCTTAAGCTGTTTGAGGTGGTTCTGTTGTCGGTTCTTTAAACTTGTTGTTTGCCAATCTTAAGGCCTGACACTTATCCAATTGCAAAATCTTTCTACAAGTGTTGCCTTCAATATTATCACTGTCCATTATGCTTCTTTTTTATCTAAAATTATGTTAAACAAGTAAATCTAGTTGGTATTGGAACTTTTTTGCATTCTCAGGCTGATGTTGATGGAAATGGCACCCTAGACTGTGAAGAGTTCATGACTGTCTCTGTTCATCTTAAAAAGATCAGCAGTGAGGAGCAATTAACAAAAGCATTCAATTACTTTGACAAAGATGGTAGTGGTTATATTGAGATGGATGAGTTAAGAGAAGCTTTAGTTGAGGGTGATGCACCTACTGAGCAAGTGATATGGGAAATCATCTCTGATGTTGACACAGACAAGGTAGAGATATCTTCATATCCATCTGCTGCAAATCTTAGACATATGGTGACAAGCCATTTGCACACAACAACTAGTAATCCAGAAGTGAACACAAAGAGCAATAAGGAAAAATAGCCAAATGATACTTGTAAACATGCGACAAATGCATAATATTCTGCTTATAAGATTTATCTTTCATGTACTCACTAATTTTGTGTGAAAAATGCTTCAGGATGGACGGATTAGCTACAAAGAGTTTGAGTTAATGATGAAATCTGGATCAGACTGGAGGAATGGATCGCGACAGTACTCGAGACAATTGTTTAACAATCTAACTAAGAAGTTGTTCAAAGATAGCTCATTGAAGGAAAATTAAGTCCTGTATTTGAGCACAGTCTCTGTCTGATATCATCTTACAATGTGGACATGTCTGTGTCAAGTTTTTCATCTTTCATGAGGATGCAGAGGTGTGATTTTCAACTATGTATGATTGCAAACACCAGTTTTTATTCATAATATGCTATATTGTAGTCAATTCTTGATATAAATTTACAAGAAGCTGTCAAAATATGAATATTGACATTGATAATATAATAATGAAACTTCAAAAACTGAGCACAAGCCTCTTACCAGGATTTCTGCTGTATATGTTGTATTACCTTGAACTGTTTAACCGTTGTACCATGTTGCCTCTTGGTGATGTCCCCGTTATACTTTGATCTTTGTATGATAAACTCGGACTATGATCTCTTCTTGTGTGGCCTTCGCCAACACATCGTAGGGCCTCCGCCACTACTAATTGTATTCACTCCGTTGATAATCGATTTTCGTCTATCCACTCTCAAGTCACATATGAACGAAGTGCAGTTCTATAATAGTCTGTCACCCAATAACTCTTGAAGTTTACTGACTTCATTGAAAGTTTGTATGTTATTATTTGGATCTTAGGCTTTTGTCTCGAGCACAATCTCTACTATATATAGCTTATCTTATGGTAACTCAAATGGTAGTACTATGGTATATTCTTCAAAAGTGTCTATCTTTGCGTCCTCTTACCTTGTGCTAAAGCCTTTTTGACTCCAACTTCGCCTTCGCAAATTAAGCCACCTTAGTCCCTCCATTAATTGCCTCACTAAGATAAAATGCATATGCCTCAAAGCTTCTTTCAACTTTGGTATCATACAAGATTAGTTCGCTTTATCAAAATGTAGAACCTATAGAAGAATATGATCCTACTCTTGCATTTATAAGAGTTCATGCTCTTGACCTATTTCTAAGGAAAGCTTCACACCTCTACTCTATATTTTGTCTTTTATGTTGACTCTGTGATTTCGGTATTTCATCAAGTTTTACCCAAGTTACTCCGCTCTTTGATTTATAATAAGATGATAGTGGTCCTTGCACCTACCATTCCATGGGTCAATCCTCCATTGAGTCTGATCTTTATATCGGCTCTATGTATACTTTCGTTTTAGTGTTATCTTTAGTCACTCCCCCACTAAAACTTGAAATGTGTCCATTAATGCATTATCTCATGTGATATCATACAATGACTTTTCATCACTCGCTTGGTCCATCGAGCTTTCTGGAGCTTCCAACTTAAGGTACCTCTTTCAATATGTACAGTCTGTTGCATATGAATCTCCCTCTGGAGAACCAAGATTTTTCTCTCTTGATATTGTTTTGTTATAGCAAATTTTTTTTTTTTGTGCTCCTCTCTTTGGAAGTTTTGAAGATTACTATCTCCTTGGACTACTCTACCTTACTGAATAAACTATGCATTGTTCTTATGACTCTTTACTAATACAATCCTTGTTATGCCCCTTAAGGCCTAGTAACATGTTGAACCCCCTACGCACTTCAATTTCTTACGGATGTATCCTTCTTATGTTGAAGAGAAAGTTTTCATACTCCATAGTGTTGAATTTTGATTGCCTTAGAATGGTTATAAGTAGTCCGTTGCTACAAGCTCTCGCTTGAGTATTGAATTCTTCGAGTTAACAATTTCCCTCGCCTCTATGAGCCTTGCTTAGCTCTTTCGATTGTTGAGTAATCCATCCCTCCTTGCACAGTGTCATCCTTTGCGAAGTGCCCTCACTTGTCTTGAGTACCATCAAGTTTGGTTGCTAACATTGAGTTGTAACTTGAACTTAGCCATCACAACTTTTGTGTACTATGTGTTCCTTCTAGCTTGCTTATCCTCATGGTATCTCTTATGCGAAGGGTTAGTCATTCCTTTAAATATTAATTTTGAATATCCACTCCTTTGAGTAACTCCTTTCTCAACATCTCTATGCATATTTCTCTCAAACTATCGCGCGTGCTGGCTGCCCTTAACATAGCCTCGCTATGTCACCTACATTTGCATGCCAAGTGTCTCTAGGTGTACTTGTTACACTCTAGTATCATATGTCACGAACTTAGTTAGATTTATCTAGATAATATGACACCGTCTATTTGTAAATGATTAGTCTTATCATAACCTTTTAGAGTCCCCTAAGGACTTACAAAAGAGAAGACCGGTTAGAAGAAGTGTTATACTCAAGATCCAATAACCAGACATTTCAAAAACACTTAATAGATAATATAAATTACAAACATAGACTTTGTAAGTTTTAAATAATTGTATAACAAATGGTCCAAGGCAATCTACCACAGCCAAAAGTCCCTATAAGTCCCCATATGATATTGCTATAAAATAATATAGTAAACCAAACCTAAATAATACCTCAAAGATCCAACCCTATATCATCAGGTAGCTCCATGATATTATATTGATTGATACCTCACACTACAACGTGGAGCCTAAAAATACTTTAAATAGATAGTTTATTTTTGGATAAACCATCTATTTAACATGTAACATGTGTATACTACACTAAATTAAGTACAAACACATACAAATAAATCAAACCTATTATAAAACACCTGTAATATGAATAAATTATATGTTCAACAATAAATCAAAATGTGTAAAGTATGAATAGAATAAAAAAAATACAAACACATACAAATATCACATCAAACACCTGTATATGAATAAATTATATGTTCGACAATAAATGATTGAGGCCCTTCCTTTGTCTCTCCTTAGAGTATTTAATAATATGAATAAATTATGTGTTCCACCACTTGAAGATGTGATGCTATCACGATGTTAACCGGAGTAGCTTTTCTGGCACAGACTGCTTCAAGTTGCCCTCGTCTGGGACAAGAAGGATGCCACATTCCTTTATCACTGGAAATTGTTCCCCCACACATCAATAATGCTCAAGTGTGTGTTCTCCTCAGAGTGTTCATCATCCTTCACTTGATTTCAGCACGTTGTCTTGCTCGTAAAGATGGTCCATCTGATGCCATTTTTGTTAGTCTGGTCCCTGCTGACTGCTGAGCTTTCTCCACCATGGGTGAGAGAGAGAGAGCAAAGGTGCTGCATGATAGTCACAAGAAAAGGCCTGCAGATAGCATTTCTTGTTCATCCACTTCTTTTCAACTGTGGTCCACTTGATGAAAACCTTGAGAAGATTCTCTCTAATCTTCCTCTAGGATATTTGGAGTTTTGCAGGAACTAGGGTTTCGACCACAGCTTCATGCCACCTTCAAACATCTCCTCTGTGGTTGCTAGAACCCACAAAGTATTTGTTTTCTTCTGTATTTCCTGGTGTTTGATGCAGGAAATAATATGCATATGGTGTTGGATACAATCTAAGAAAACCCAGAAATGTTGACTGAAACTATATGATTTCACTACCATGTTTGTTGCAGCTCCAATAAAACATCAATGGAATAATGCATGGAGTGCCATTGGAAGAAGAATTCCACCGAACAAAATATGGGAGGAGTGCAATCAATCATTTCGCATGGTTGAACATATTTAAGCTTTTTATGGTTGGATAAACATTTGACTTAATCTTGAGGAGAGCTTCAGTATTTCCATTTCTTGCCATCATTCTCAGTATACATGTACATCTACATGCTGAGCTATGATGATTGAATTCATGGATGAGACCAGCAAATTTTTAGTTGCAACCACTACTGATCCAAATTGCTGCTATCCAAAGAGTGTAGGCCCCACTGGGGCCATCATGCTTTGTGTGTGGAGACATTGATGGGTGAATTTTCCTTCGCCATGCAATCAAAAGAAACAAAAACTGTGGAACCGACGGAGAATTATGTGTTAATTTGTACCGGCAGAAATTTCGCCTCGGAACCCACCTTCCTCATGATTGAATAGATCAATAACTCACATGGGACCCAAGGTAGCCCCACCGCTCTACCAAATGACAAGGCCGGTAGGAACGTCGAGTGGTAGGTGCAACGAGGCGAGATTTATTGAGGAGATATGGACGTCATTCTCTCGTCACGTGTGGCGTCTGAACGATGGAGCACTTTTGTCTGTACCCCGTCTATACCTTCCCTGAGGATTGGAATATCACCTGGGTCCCACATGGAATGTACTGTTGGACCCACTTCTTCATTTCACGGATAGATCAGGAGTAACCAACGCGGTAGGTCGGACAATTTACCAGATCGTTCGACATGGCATTAGCATACATGATCTCATCATACGATAACATCCATCCATCGCATCATCATGATCATCATATTGTTTGCACGTGACGAGACCAAGAAGCCGTTTAAATGCCACAGTCCACCGCGGGCTGGCATACCCAACTGTGTGCCCGAGAAGCGGAATCGGTATCGGTGCCTCCCCCATGGAAAAGAAGCGAACGAGGAAGGAGGAGGACGACGAGCCCGTGACGGTGGTCGCTGCTGCGGCTGTGTCGTCGGAGGAGGAGGCGAAGGGGTGGTCCGAGCGGGGGTGGCGGAGCGGGGAGGAGACCTGGCCGCGCAAGGGCGACGGCGGCGGAGGGGTGATGCTGGAGGGGTACGTCTTGGGCTCGGCGGACGGCGGGGAGCGGGGGCCTGGTGGTGTCAAGGGGACGAGGAGCCTCACGGACGACGACCTGGAGGAGCTCAAGGCGTGCCTCGACCTAGGGTTCGGGTTCAGCTACGAGGGGATCCCGGAGCTCTGCAACACGCTCCCAGCGCTGGAGCTCTGCTATTCCATGAGCCAGAGGTTCCACCTGGACGATCAGCAAGAACAGATATCTCATGGGGACTCGCTTCCCTTCGCCAATTGGATGATCTCCAGTCCTGGTAGTATGATGCTTCCTCGTTCCTTCCTCTGTTTCCTCTCGGTTAAAAAACGAGCAAAAAGATTCCATCTTTCTTGTCTAAAATGGTGGATATATGTTTGTGGATTGGCTAAAAGTGATATAGGTGAAGTAATATTCATAAAAATTCCATTTTTTCCCCCTAAAATGGTGGATATACATATTTGTGGATAGGTATGAGTGATATAGTTCGTATCAATTATATCTTAAGTCTGGAAATTTCTTTGAAATATTTGATATTTTGGTTCTTCTTCAACCCTGAAAGATCTATCAAATGTATTGCTGTGAGAATTAAACTAGTGAAAGATCAATTTATTCTTATTAGTTGATAAATGGGGGTAAAAAAACCAATTTTTCTTAGAAAATTTTTGTCAAGATTCAAACTATAAAAAATGCACCTTTTTTCTTTTCGTCTTTTGATATCTGATCCAGCTACTGTTCTGCTGAATTATGTTCTAAAGCATGTTGGAGGAGTTCTCATCTCTGGATTTTGGATATTCTATTTTGCTGGATTTACTGCTGTTATCAAATATTTCAGTTTCCTAATCAGTTTTCTTTGATGTATCTATCAGGTGATGATCCAGATGAAGTTAAAGCAAGGCTGAAGTACTGGGCTCAGACAGTAGCATGCACTCTCCGATTATGCAGCTGAAAGAGTTTGCATTACTTTGAGTTTGTCTACTGTTGGAAGAAGTAATATATATACATGTGAATCCACCGCCAACGCTAACTTCTTTGGAGTGAATCATCTGCTCATTACCACTGGGATTAAACCATTCTTCTACCATTCCGAAGAGCTCTTCGTCTTGAATACAATTCTGAAGATGGAAAATGAAGGCCTATAACAAAAAGAACGAACAGGAAGAAGAGCAAAGAGAAGAGAGGTCCACTGTACCATGTCTGGCCTGCAGGCCTATAAAGAAGAACGACTGCGATTTTTCATGTATGGCACATGATCAATTATAGTGTTCTTCTTGGTATGAATAATATCAATTTGTATCAAGTAACTGTTCTGTGCAATCATGTTAGTTGCAATAAATAAACCAATCATCTTTTCTGCCTCAGCATTTATAACCATTTGATTGAGTTCACAAGGCACCTGGTCTGGTAGATGACTGGACCTCAGATCTCCAGTGTTTGTGACAATGGATTTTTAACCGAGATTTATGGTACTTTTAGCAATCTGGCAGAGTAAGAAATTGGTTTATTTATTCTAGTAGAGTGCACAGGGTACTTGAATTTGTTGTTCTTTTTTAGACCATCTGGAGTAACTTCTTGTATCTGTTTCTGTACATGGAAATGCATCAAGTGACTCCTCTGATGCTCCTTGTTCATCAGCTTTGTGACCAAAGGGCAGGCTTTGTTGGACATTCAGCTACAAGATGGGGTAGAAATCGAATTGGAAGCATTGAAGATAGAAAGTAACTGCTGAGTCAATCCAGGTCCTACACAACCACACAGAAGGTTTGGGGCTTTCTCTATGTTCAACTTATATGCAAAAGCTCATACTACTGCAACACTGCACTAAATATTTAGTCATGAAATGGTAGCTTCAGATGCAAATTAGCTTGCCAACAGGTAATGCTGGCAGTCTTATCTTGTTCTCCTCTTGTTAGAGAATGACTCTCAAGCAAAGGATGAGCTTGTGATCCGCAAAATTCACGTACGAGTGATGATAGTGTATGGATTAGCTGGACTAGAAACAGTAGTGCATTTTCACCTGTTCCATACAATAGACAGATTGCATTCATGTAGTCAAACCTTCTGTTTCCCTAAACTAGTGTTTGATTCCAAATATAGTTCAAGTTATTTTGCCAAGAGTTAGGAAGGAAAGGGACATCTGTGATCAATAAAACTGATAGTTATTTTTTAGGATAAAAGGGCAATACGAGTAGATGATGGAGAATATGGATAAATACCATCAGGTCAAGATCAGCAGCATGCATGATGCGAGGAAGATGACATGTAGTCACAATCAATCAACATGTTTTCAAACATGTGTTCTGATTTGTGAGGGTGGCTTGATGGTCCCTAAATGATGGGAACACCTGAAAGTGATAACCGGAAACATGTGTTCTTGTTAGCCAAGAGCATCCCAACCACTTACAAAGCATGGAGAAAGAACAGGAATGAGAATGAAGATAAGGCTGAGGGATAGATGGAAAAAGAAAAGTGAATCCTGTGGTTACTAAAATTTCCTTATCATAATTATCTTTGTGGATCCGAATTTGATCTTATTACTTCATTTTTTGTAACATTGATTTGTTCTTGATTATATGTTATTTTTCACTAGTAAAAGGAATATTCACTGTAATAAGAACAGGCATAAGAAATAGTTGTAGAAAGCATGTATAAGACTGAAAGCTAATAGGAAAAATCCTAAATCATGCTCAAATGCTATACTCCAAGCCTTGCAGAATACATCCTAAATTACAATAAGCCACAGTTAGTACAAGAGCCAAAATTTGTAGACAACGGCAAGCTATAACTAAACCTGACAGGAGATCAACCTAAACCAGTCTGATGTGAAATTTATTGAATCCATGCAAACCAAAGCTCCACAAGAAAGAGAGAACATGCATATATCAGAGATAAAACCTGCAAAGAACAGGAACAGTACACCATCAGAGGATTGAATAGCTGAATCCCTTTTTATCTTAAGATTGAGCATTTTTATGCATTGTCTGTTGATGATAAGGATGTTCATATACTACCTCTGTTGTGGCTTGAGATAAGTATATTTAACTAATGAATGAGAAAAATGGTCATCTTCAATTCAGGGAGAAAGTTTAGCTATTCATTTCAGTAGTCATGAAATAAATCACAGCATCTGCTCCTTTAGGGTCCAAAGAAAAAGAAATAAAAATAGAAAGAGACTGATCATTTGCAGGCTCTGATCTTGAAATAATATGCAAACTTCTATTTTATTTTTTAAAAAAATTGCCTTGGCATGAGCAGCCTCTGATCATTTGCGGCAAAATGCAGAGTGGAATGGTCTTTATCATAGCTTTGATCTTTTGTTTAATACAAATTTAGCTAATGTATCTTAGTGATCTCTTCTATCAAAATCTTAGAACTCAGCTCAAGAAGGTCAGAAGCCAAATGAAATAACATCACTCAGAAAAACTTGTGTAGGAGACTACTGTCTTTAACATTTATGTATTTGATTTCTCAAAAGTCCAAATTTTAGTAGTAATTATACAATAATAATTGGACACTGTTGTGTCAACAGGAAGCCAAGAGTTTATTTTTCCTATTTATTTTACTGAATGTAAATTACTACTATATTTGATGACTTATCTTTCATCGCAGAATAAATTGCATATCTGTGGAACTTACTATAGATTTTTTTGTGAAACTCCCCATTGACATCAGAGATAATCGAAACGGCATATATAGAACCATTCATATGTAGATCTCAAAATGAAATCTACAAATATATGTCACCCTTTTAAATAGTGCAAATATCTAAATTTCAGATGCTTTGTGGATGGATACTAACACTTGTTTCATATGCAATTTAAGAAACCACTTCTTCCTTAGTTTACATTAATGTGTAATTTAAACCGATTAATTTCAGGTTTCACGAATTAATATGCAAATGCCGTACCCCTATTCAGTCCTTCAGAAAATTTCTTTTTGGCATAACATGAACTCATCATAGGTTATTCATAACAGCTAACGTGTCATTTGCTTTTCAATCAAATGCTGAGCATCTTACGAGTCCAATATATCTACACACGCACACACAGGTCTCCAAAGCAATAATGTTGTTAGCCATGAGCAAAGTTGTGACGAGATTGCTGGCCATCCCGTTCATCCTTCAACTCATCTCCACCACCCCGTCGACGCTCGGCGTCCGGGGAAGGGCGGCTGCGACGAACCGTACGTGGTAGCGGAAGGCGAGACACTGCAGACCATCAGCGTTGTCGCCTCTCTCTCTATCTCTCTCTGTGTTACCTGTGCGTCTCATGTAAGTGGATTATTTTGGAAGGATTGATATGTCAGTAGATCTTCTTCTATGTATCTCCTGTATGTTTTACCCTCAAGTCTAAAGAATCAGCTTTGTGTCTTAAGAGTCGGCATTTCTCCTACTTCTCGCCATAATTCATGACACCGAATGGGATCGAAACCAAACTAGCAGATTACATTCATGAACAGGTCTTCAACAATAACAGCTGCATACACCTATGCACTGAGTTAGTACAACCAAACGAATGGATTATATTGGTAGTTGAACCTAACCATAGATATATTATGTAGGTGAACATTATATATAATATATATATATATATATAGTTTTTTAAGGTAAAAGCAAACTGAATGATAAGTTTCCAATTGTCAAACCTCCTTGAGCTCCTGATGATATTGTAATAGTGAAGATGTTTGAGCTGGAAGATAGTATTCTAAAATTGCATAGGAAGAAACTCATCAATTGATCTTATGTGGTCAAATTGATTGTTTTTGGTAGAGTAGAAATTATAAATCAGCAAAGAGGTCACCAGATTAGGCAAAAAATGCATGGGGGTATTTTGGTCATTGTAAATTGCTATGCAGACAATAACATAGTTGGAATTGTAGAGATGTCACAAATCAAATGCTCAGCAAAGACTGACGACCTATAATCATCTCCGCTGCAGAATGGTTAGCTCACACACACAGACACTAAAGCTTAGAGTAAATCAAGCAATTCATGGAACACCATCAAGTACTGCAATAGAGATAAAGAGTTGAGAACGTAGACAGGGCATTTGACATAGAAGAGAACAAATTCTTCCATTTTGGTTGCTAGATTCGCAATAGCTTTTCGTGTGACATTTAAGAGAAACAAATGATGATCCAGTGCATGCAACTCCTGCTAATGCGGGATCGGGTGTGCTCTTGATTGCATTCTATCACCAGAATGCAGCAGGTTGATAAGCTACCACCACTAGTACTGCACATACATAAGGCACATCTAAAAGATTAGAGGCATTAGAAGCATTAGGTCAGAAACAGATGTTTCCCCAGCAACAAACAGGACAAATAGTGAATATTGCAGCCTTTATGATACTTCAGTATTCCATGTAGTCTTCCACAACTGTCTGGAAAAAGAGCAACGACTGAGGTGCTCAACAAATAAACAACAAAAATCCCCATTCACAAGAATCTCATTGATGATGACTTGTACAACACCACAAACTAGAACACTCTTGAAGCACTCAAAGCAAATTGGAGGCTTGTATTAGGACCATAGATGAGGTTTAAAGATTTGCTAAACAACTATCCTAGCAGAAAATCAACATACCAATGAAGTCTGATGATATGCATAATAATCATTACAGATCAGGCATCTGGAGCTTGGGAAGGAACAGCCGCGGGTGGGGGAGCCGGCTTATTTACGAGAAGAGGAGAGAGTGCTTTTACCACAATGCTCATATTGGGCCGAAACTCAGCTTCGTATTGGACACATAGAGCTGCCACTGCTGCCAGCTGCAAGAACAAATAAAATCAAAACTAGTCATCCTTGAAACATCCTATGGATGTAGGATTTAGTAAACAGTGCTCTATATATGGTTTTGGAAAGCAACTCCAACTAAGCCCCAGATCCAAACCATTAGGCGGGAAAAAAAGTTCACTTGTACATAATAGATAAGAGCAAGACCTTCGCAACCCCTTTTGCTGGGTAATCTCCCTTCAATCTTGGATCTACACATTGTTTGACTTTATCCTCACTCAGTCTAGGAGTTGCCTGTGAAGGGGGTAGAAAGAACATCAATATAGAGGTATCTAATTCTCAATTCATAAGACATGCTTGATCTTCATGTAGAGACAAGTGCCAACATGTGTAAAACACATCCACAAGGTCAAAGTAACTAAGTCTCAATTTGTAAGGGATGCCTGATTTGCATTGTACTAGCACCAACATATGTATAGCACATCACCAAGGTCAATGTCCAAATCGGTGCAATACTCACAGGTGCAAGAGAGTTATGAGACAACAAATTGGCGTAAGCACTATCACATTTGCATTCAACATTGTCGCAACACTTGGTTGCAAATAAGGCATGAAACATGTAAACCAGCAACAACCTGCTTGTCCATGAGGGAGAACTATGTATACATACAATAAAATGCCATCAATGTGTAACTTGTTAAAAAAGAAAAACAAATTCAGGGCTCATTGATGCTCGGCAACTATGTCCAACTATGCATCAAACTTTATTTAGAATGTTGACTAAAAAGGCAATGATAGAGAGGCATAAAATGATGTGCTGCTAGCATTGTAGGCTATTCCTGTTAAATTCTAAGTTGCTAGAATGAATTTCAGGTAAAAATTCACAGGTCCTGTCAGAAAGATCCTCAGAATATCTTGTTTTGTATACAGCCAAGGTTCTTAGAAAGACTGACTTAAAGAAAAAGGGGATGATTGAAGCCACCTTTGTCAAATAAGCAGCTGGCTACAAAGTGTCAAATGACAAGTCTCGAATGAAATATAACCAAGTCTCTGGAATCAGATACATGAAATCAAAAGGTTGGTTTATTTCAACAATTATAAGACCTCTTTAGCTGATCAAAATGAATGTTGTTCATAAGAATGATCATGGAAATGTGGTTGATGGCAATGAAGTGAATCGATCAATTTAGTTCAAGATTGGTAACGTTTAGTTTCTAGCTCAATAGTTTTAGGTTCGGAGATGTTTATAGCTTCTACTGCTTTAATTTTTTTGTTGGGACTTTGTTGTATTATTTCTTCTGCCTCTTTGATCTTTCGTGGGCGATTTCCCTAAAACCCCGCTCCCCCCCGCCCCCCCCCTTCCCTTTTTCTTTTCCTCCTTTTCCCTAGATAGTGCCCCCTAGTTTCATTTTTCCAAGATAGTGCTCCTAATTTTTGTAATCCTGAAAATGCCCCTCCCTTGCCTGTCATCGCCTCCGCCCACTGCCTCTGCCCTTCCACTGTTCTCTGAGGCGGGGGCAACACCTCCACTGCCCTTCCTCTGATCCATGGGGCAGAGATGACACGACCACGAGGCCTCCACCATGTTGCCTCCCATCGTGCTCGCCACCTCCGCACCTTTCCCGCCCGTTGCACCCGTCGCCTCCACTCCCTGCCTGTCACCATGAGGCCCCACCCGTCATGCCCATCAAGCCCCTCACCTCTGCCTTTCCCCATCATTCCCTATCTGTCGCATTCGCTGCCTCCGCCCTTCCTTTGATCTGTGGGGTAGAGGAGGAGGCCTTGCGATGGGGGCCTCGTGGCCTTGTGATGGATGCATTGCCTCCGCCCCACGGAGCAAAGGAAGGGCGGAGGCGACGAGCACAACAGGTGGAGGCAGCAACGGGGAAGGGAGGCGCCACCAGCTAGGCGAAGTCAGTCGAGGCGACAACAAGGGAAGGGAAGGGAATTTTCAAGATCACAGAAATTAGGGACACTATCTGGGAAAAACAAAAACAAGGCATAATTGAAGTATTTTCAAAGGACATCTCAGCCATCTCAAAAATTTAGAAAGTCATCTCAGACAACGCAAAAGGACAATTGTCAGCTTAATCACCTCAAAACAAAACTTTAGCTTTGTCAGAAAAAGAACAGAGAAAAACAAAAGAATAAAGCAATAGCAACAGACTTTTGAACACTCAGACTCTTTCACTTCTCTATAAAAACCCCCCTAGTCTATCTTGTAAGGGCCAAAGACTTCTAAACACTTGACTGTTTCCCTCTTCTATAAAACCCCCCTAGTCCATCTGGTAAGGGCAACAGCAACAAGAGAACTACACCTTACTCTCATAAGTCATAAGCACACTTAGGCTTCCTTCTCCCTCCTAAAAGAAAAGAGTCTAAAAGAAAGTTCATCTTTTGTCTTGAATTATATAGTAATCTTTTTTATGAATATTTTCTTTTGGTGTTTGCTTAAACACCTAAGTAGCCCTATATAAGTTTGTTGGCACATTCTTTTGTAAAAGAAACTATTGGACACTGATCAAAGCATTCAAGTTGGTTCCTTTAGCAAAACATCTTAGCAAAATATTTATAACCAAGATAAGACCAGTAGGTCATTCATACCAACACTTGAACTTTTAAACTGAAGGTTCTTTTCAACTTTTAAATGTTTATTATTTTTGAAGATACTAAATATTGCTTAATTGAACCCGCAGATTTTTGTGGATTCAGGGTTTAGACTATTTATTAGGGTCTAGGTTTATTTACTAGGGCTTATTTTATTTTGACTATTTATTAAAGTTTTATTTAGGGTCTAGATTTTGGGACTTAGTATTTATGATTTCAACTAATTGTTTTTTTATTATACGAATTTTAGGTAAACTCAGAAGTAGTCGAACTATGTGGTTTGTCAAAACTATCTCAGGTCATGCCTATATTTAGGAAATTTATATTATATGGTACAACAATATTCACCCATTCTATTTCAAGTTTCTTTAAGGTTTACGTTAATAAGGATTGTTATTTCAGTCAAATATTTTGTTGTGCGCTAATACAGACCAAGGGAGCAACATTATGGAGAATGATGAGCAAATTTTGTCTATGATGGTGGATCCCATGTCTACTTTCTAACCTCTCTTGCAAATGCATTTAGAACCACAATAACTATTTGTAGCCCCTGACTATTTGGGTTTTGGCTGCATAAACCCTTTCTCACCACTGAATTATGTTATGGACAATGTTACTAGTTAATTCAAAGGCCTCAAATTAGAATTAATAATACAGTAAATCAAAAAAAAAAAGACAAAAGTTTATCCTGTCACAAAAAAGAGCTTGCTCAAACGTTTTCATGGTACGTGTTCTGCTTATCATCCTGTAAGAAAAATGGGCCTTTGATATAGTGAAACACCAGAAATTTGAGATGGTGCTATCAGATATCATAGACAAGAATGTAAGGATTAGGTGGCAACCATTCAAAATGTCAAATAACTTGATATAAGGACAATATATATATGAGCACAAAACAATCTGGTTCAGTAATCATCCAGTAACCCAGGACACAAAATTTCAGTACCATATAGATTTAATAATTTGAAGACAAGGACCTAAACATGAGATACATAAGTCAAATTACAATTATAGTTGAGTGAAATAATACAATTGTTATCATAATGCAAGCATTGTAATCAGATATTCAGATATACATGTAAAGTTTTCATAGATGACTCACGTAGTCAGGTTAAGATATTTTGACTATTCTACTTTCTGTATTCATGACTCTATGACCAGTTAATATTCAAAGGAATCAGCAGCCTTTTCACCAGTTCATGAGACATAAATTAGGGGCTGAAAGTCATCCTGTCCTAATTCACCTCTCTTGTTTCATAATCTTTTCTTTTCTGCTATTGATCTATTCATGTGGATGGATCACAGTGTCTCCAACTAATAAGTTCCTTTCTTACTCTTGAATACATGAGACTAACAAAGAATGAAAACAAATAAATACTCAACTAAAAACAACTTAGGATATAAATCTTACTAGCTTACCCAAGTAACAAGACTCTGCTGCCCTCTAGGCATGGTATGATCCACAGGTTTTCTACCAGTCAGCAGTTCTAAAAGAACAACTCCAAAGCTATATACATCACTCTTCTGTGTCAGCTGGCCTGTCATAGCATACCTGCATAATACTGCATGTATCATTATATACAAAAAGGAAAATACAGGAGATATGAATCATGCAACATTATTTACTGTGCTTTGCAGATCTTGATTCATCTACTACAGATAATTTTTATTGCACTTGACACAAAGTATATGAAAAAGATCATGGAGGAAAATAATTTTCTTTGCAGTAACCATAAAGGATTCATAACAGTTATAACAAATTATGAGAAAAGTACAAATAACAAGATAGGTTAATACTTCAGCCTTCAACAATGTTTACTTTTTCAGTTTCTTCTATGTCTACTTCATCAAGAATGTAATAAATTATAATAGTTTTACTAAACCTTGCCAAACTATGGCAAATTAATTCAAAATGTCTCTAACAAAGCCAACCAATGACGTAATAAATGGGTTTTTTTAACATCACAGCTTGGTTTAATAGCATAGCCAATACAAACATGGAATGGAACTTGGCAATCTTGTGAACCATAATTAGAGGATTTTCAAGGAGTACCAAGTACTTACACAAGGCCATCTAGTATATCCTGATATTAAAATTTGAACTTAAGTGAGGTAACCGAACATAAAAGCAAGGAATGTCATATCGCTTATCGAACCCATAACGGTTCTTTGTCGAACTGGGACAAACCAATGTTTTGAAGACGAAGGAGAAGAGTAAAGAGCAATGGAGAAAGAGGAGGAAGATGAAGGAAGAAAAGGAGGTGAAGGAAGAAAAGGAGGGAGGAAGTAGAGAAAGAAGAAGGAAGAAGAGGACTAAGCATTCCGAGGAGGTAGGCAATGGCGAACAACAATGGCGGCGGCGATGGCAAGCGACAATGGCAACGACGATGTCGGTCCACAATCCCAACGGCAATAGTGATCAATAGCGGCGACAATGTCGGACCACAATCCCAACAAGAAGAGGGCTTGTGTTTGCAAGCTCTAATCCATGTAATATTTTTTAGTTTTTATATTGGGTTGGACCAAACTGCCCAAAGCGAGGCCATCTATGTATCTAGATCAGTATGTACCGCATGCTTCGTACCTCTAGGCAAAATGGGCTTCCTTGCATAAAAGTTCGACTATATGGTGACTTCAAGTATGCTTGGAGTTTTGTCCACCATCAATATTGATGTTATGTCCCTTAATCATAAAAGGTAACAGATAATCAATCCAGCTATTGTTGGTCATAAAACAAAATCGTAATATTTTGTACCTTTGCAAAGTCAAATAGGATTCTGGATACTACTAGTCTACTACAACAAAAATAACAAGCCATAAATCCATAATCAACCATTTAGGAATTCTAGATGCATAGCAAAAATTAAATTCTTTGTCATGGAACAAGACGATTTTCAAATAAGACTTTCAACTTTCAGTTGACTTAATCACCACCAGGAGCCACTAGAGGTAATGCCAACTTTCACAGTTGACTTAATCATCACAGGCAACCACTCAAGGTAATGTTAACTCTCACAGACCTGATGAGTGGCAACCCTCCATGATGTTTTATATCTATCAACATGTCTCAAAAGTTAAAATAAAAAATAAACTAACAAACCAAAATGTTTTATATTTATTCTAAAAGTTACTCAGGAGTATTACTGAAAGTAGCTAAATAAGCAACACAATTACCACATTTTTTTACCAACACAATAGCCTGCCCTTGATTGGGCCAACCATAATTACTAGATTATGAAGACTATAAGCAACATGACTATCAAAATGAGTAAATAAATTCTTGTAACTAAGTAAGGTCAAATACAACTGCAGATTATCCAAGTTGAGTAATTACTCGGGTGCATGATAACCAAAAGTTCCCAGGACTCGAGTAGAATGAAGACGAGCAGCCATATCAGGAGCCTGATTTAAGAGGTTAAAATCTGCAATTTTGGCCCTAAAGTCATCGAATAGAAGGATATTGCTCGATCTGATATCCCGATGTATTATGGAAGGCTGAAATTTCTCATGAAGATACTCTAACCCTTTTGCTGCATCAACAGCTATTCTCACTCGTTGCATCCAGTCCAATACTGGACCAGGTTGTGCACCTTGGACTCCTTTTCTGCCTGTGGTTTGGAAATAAGTTAGATTCTTGAACTGTTGTGTACATAATTTACCAGATAACATAAATAAGCTATTCAAAGGATAAGAACATTAAATTATGTGGACAAATTAGCAGATATATCTTATACCATGCAAAACATCATGCAAAGAGCCCATGGTTGCAAACTCATAGGCTAACAATCGCATATTTCCTTCAACACAATATCCCAGCATTTCAACAAAGTTTTCATGCTTCAACCTTGACACCATAGAGACCTAATGTCAGAAAAAAAAAAAAAGCTGCAGTTAATTATGTGATGTGTTTTTGTTATTGAACAGATGATCGCTGTCCTTCCACAAACAAGTTAACCTTGATCAAAAGGAGAAGCAAAATAGATGTTTATCACTTGCAAGTATAAGAAAACCTGAGTCAAAAATTCAGCGGAGTTGTCTTCTGATGAAGTATCAAGTTTTTTCACAGCAACCTGCTTCCCATTGTCTAGAACTGCAAAGTACACCCTTCCGTATGATCCTTCACCAACCAAAGACTTTGACCCAAAACTATCAGTCTTCTCGTTCAATACCTCTAAAGACAACATAGGCACCTCAATAGGAGGTGGTGCCTTTGGGGCTTCACTTTTAGGAGCAGCAGAATATTTTGAACCTTTGTGTCCTGGAATGACAAAAGAAAGAAAACCTTGGTTAACATAAAAGCAGAAGTAGCATCAATAAAAAAAGTTGTGTAGATGACAAATAATTTTAGACCAAGTTTAGAAAAACATCACATGGTGTTTAACTAGAAATGCTTATGTTGCATCTACTATGTTTGAACCAAGGTTTTCAATTTCTATGTGTACCGCCCGATATGTATCGATACACGGACCATCCTCTACCGGGCAATACTAGTGTTTTGACCGGTATCGAGGTGTACTGACTGGTACCACCCCGGATTTCGACCGTTGCCGAGACATACCAATCGGTACGCCCTGGCGTGGTAGGTGAAGTTATTTTTAAGGTTTTAGGATGTACCATCAGTACGCCCTAGTGTACCAACGGTATATACCGATACGTACTGTACCTAGCAGAGCTCGGTACGCCGATACAGACCGGTATTCAAAACCCTGGTTTGAACAATTATGAAAAGAACAAATATATGTAGCACATAAAGTTTTTGAAAGAACCACTTGATGCAATGACAACCAAACATTAATTTGATGATAATGCACACACAATGGCAGCCTCTAGATGAAGCATTCAAGGATTTCCAGCTTACAAGATGCTTTTTCCATGTAATCCACTTTGACAATGAATCCACATACAAAAAAAAAGAAGTTGATTCATATAAGTCCTATTAACTAATTAAAGCCTTGACTCAATGTAAATCAAGACCTAATTAAAGATCAAGAAGCTCTATAGCTGAGTAAACATGATCTAAATATTTGAGTATGATGGGTGTTATGAGTTAAATACACTTAATATATACATCTAGTTGCAAAGAATTAGTTTATAATAGTTTTTAAAAGTGACAGCTCTAACAAGCATTTTCAAATTCGAGAAGACCTCACAACCTATTAAATTACTAAGCAAAATAACTTTTGTTACCCTTCTAAAACCCACTAAAAGGAACCTAACTCTCAAAATATGAGTCCTAATAATAATAAAATAGCATCCATTACCATACATGGCACTCTAGGACACTGATGGATAATCGCACATGAGTCAGTCTGCCAAGTAAACTCTTGGCAAGCATTTAATGTCATTTTTTAACATCAGCATCAATGAGACACATCCTTGTCAACATCTACCACTGATAAACCCACCTCATAACATCAATGAGCAGTCATCATGATACCTCAATAACAATTCTCTCGGTGACTGACCGACATGGACCATGGATATCCATGCGGTCGAGTGAGGGACAAAGTCATCCTCCAAGCTGTGCACTTATTCCTTTCTTCAACTTCATTTATTCTCCTTAACTCCCCTTTTTGCCTACTTTGCATCTATTGATCCACAAGTTCCCAACACAAGTTATGGCTTAAGCATTAGAGAGGGAACCCATCGAACCCATTCACAGCGCCCTTTCTGTTATTTTGCAGGTGGCACCTCCAAGCTCCAGGTAAGCAAGCCAATACCAGTGTGGTGCATGCTTGGAAAAGGATAGCTCCAGGTAAGCAAGCCAATACCAGTGTGGTGCATGCTTGGAAAAGGATGAGGACTCAATCAGATTCAGCATCCTATATCAGTCGGATGATAAAAAGTTCATCATCAAGCACTAAATAGACTTAAAATTGAAGCTTTAAAACCAACTAAATTATATAGTAAAACAATTACAATGATTAGTTTAAGAATAACCGAAACATAAAAAAGTATCCAATTACAACTAAAAGTTGGTGAGGCTTAACTGGCCCTGTCTTTTTCTAACTAGGATGGGAAAAGGGTTTCTCCACTCCTATTCCAACTAAGATTGAACTGTACAACATCCATTAAAACTAAAGACTTTCTTTCCCTCCAAAACCACATAGAAAACCTTCTTTTACAGGCAGATTATTGCACCATGCTAGACATGACTCGTATATTGCTAGATTAGACTCTAGATTTTGCTGGATTTCCAAGCTGAAATACTATGCCAAGCTGTCCTGAGCTAAAACATATCGTACTAATTAACATTTGAGCTGTCTTAATGGTAAATAAGGCTAATAAAGGACAGCATATGCCCTGACTATGCCCTAAGCTGATTGGAGATGGTTGGATCCAAGATGGATTGTGATAAAAATCATCTGGTTTTGGGAGTTACTTGTCCATGTCAAATAAACTATTTTTTTAACACTATTGTCTGCCATAAGATCATCTTCCTTTAAGCATACTTATGCAATTTTTTACCCCTTGTAAGAGTTCTATATAAACTTATATTCTATAAGTTCAAGCAATAGCTACATTACATAACAAAAGACATTGTCCAACAATATATCTTTCCTTTATCACACTGGAGAATTCCAGTCAGATAAGGAGAAAAGACTACTTGCTAAAGCTTATACAATAAGGGAGTAGCTTAGGGAAAAAGAACCTTGCATGTGAATTCTCTCAAGGAAAAAGGACAAAAAGCCATCCTGCTACTCTTGTTTAGTCTAACTATCATTTCTGTTAGAGCAATAGATTATCTATTGTTTGTTAACTGAAATCCGTCCAATCAACTCGGTTTGATCTCTATTTCATCCTCCAAAATCAAAGAGCTGTCAGTCACACAAAATCTAAATTCTCCAGTGCATGCTCCTTCAACAAATACATCAAAAACCAACAAGCAGAGGTTTTATCACAGAGGGAATCTTGACAAAAAAAAAAAACAGCCAAGTTATGTTCTTTCTATAACTCCAGCTAATCAACAGACTTTATGCAACAAAATATGCAATTATCCTGTGACATATGTCATTATGAGAAAGCAATTCTAATCTGTGAATAGCAAAGAAAATAACATACCATCCGCATCATTTGTTGGGCTCTTCAGGTATTCATTCTCATGGGCCTGATAAGACTCATCCACATGACAAGAACAGCACAACCAACGTCGCATTTTATCCTTCTTCTCAGTGGATATTCTATGTAGCACATGTACCTTGATGCAACAAACAGACCATCAATACAAAGGTAGTCATATATATGCTGTGCTAAGTGCTGACAGTGAGAATGCTATACATCATGATTCTTAAAAGACATAGAAGCAAAAGTCTGTCTTGAGAAAATAAAGAAAAGATTGCAGACATCAGCAGAGATTATATATCTCAACAAGTATGAATCATTATTCAGAAGCAAACTTCACCTACAATTTTTTTGAAAATACACTGGGGCCATTATCATGTTCAGATTGACATATAACAGAAATACTAAGCTGAGATTTTGAGAAGCACGTAATTTGAACTTCCATTTCCGCCACAAAAGAGTCAACCCAAGCACAAGGTACACCATTGACGTACAATCATATTAATAAGAATAACCAGCTAAGGAATCACGTCATTAGCCAGCACAATTAATTACATGTGGGACTCAGTCTCCTACTCGAATTTGATGATAAACACGCTTACTTGATATGGGCCAGGGTTGCTCTATGATCTGGCATACCACATTAATCATTATACGCCCAAATAGTGACAACAGATAAATTTTGTGCAAGAAAATTAAAAAGACCGCATTTTTCTTGGCATGTACCAACATCAACAACGGAATCACAGCAGATTATGTAACAAGGGAACAGAAGCCGACAAGGCGGAATCTCACTCTGTTTAATTTCCAAAAAACAATGGTCAATTTGCAAATGATCGCTTTCAAACGAGAAAGTTATAGATCACACTCGCAATCCATGGAATTCCAGCACTTAATCAGATTTCATCAGAAGAACTAAAGAGAAATCGTCCAACCAAAGGCATAAAACAACCAAAAGCAAAGAAAAAGCAGGTAAACCGCAAAAAGTATCGATTTGCAGTCCGAGCGTAGAAGCAACCCAATGAAAAGGCTGCTAGAAGTGGGACCCGCTTATTTTCTGGGAGCAAAATAGAGAAGTCATACTTGATATTAAGGGTTGAAAACGACACTAAATCCGCCAAAATCAGCCCGATTCCCCACGAGATTTCCAAAGCTCGAATCAGTCGCAACAAGAAACATGTTCGACAGAAAAAGTAGTGCATAAAATCCGGACGCGTATGAGGAATCCGTGCGTGCCACTATCGCAAAGACATAATACGATGAATTGATTAAGACAAAGAGGGATCCTTGGTAAGAAGAAAAGGGGTCTCACCTGAAAACGGTAACCAGGAGCTCGAGGGTAGGCAACCCCGCTCCACCTCTAGGATTAGGGTTTCTTGAGAGAGAGAGAAGACGGATGCCTGAAAACAACAAGCGTTGCGATTGCGAACACGAGAGAGAGAGAGAGAGAGAGAGAGAGAGCGAGCTATCTTAAGAAGCTGGTTGCTGCGACCAGCGTTGCGACTGCGAATACGAAAGACGGACGTCGCAACACTCTGTGATTATTAACGAGTCCACCCCACCGAGTGTCTCAAACGGATGTGCGCCACGTCCCATGTCGTAAACTATGTCTTATCTCAAGTCGGAACGTCGGGTTGTTCCCTTTGAGTCCACCGTCCGGCCTTCTCTTCCCTACCATCTTCCGCATTCACACTGAGGATCTTATCCAACGTTGTCACCGACTATTCATGATCCAGCGGATTAGATGCAGAGAGTATAGTGGGCCCGAGCAAATCAACGGTTGATATGTCATATTAGAGGATTTATTTAAACGCATAATTGGAGCTTATTCGTGGCCTTTACTTTCTTTATATATTTTTTATGTTCTTTCCATGATTGTCGTTCGCTTTTCTTTGGCAATATTTGTGTTAAATAATAATGGGGTGTTTGTCTAGATGCCCCCAATATTTATGTTTTATCAGGAATATTCGTTTGTTTAAAATTTTTAAAATAATCTTTTAATCAATCTCACCCTTTATATTGATCCAATCAATTCAAACCCTACCGACCCAAATGCTAGTTTTGTTCGATCTAAATATTGTTATAGGTCAAATTGATTTGTGTTGAATCCGTCAGTGAATTAAGTTGGATTGCATGTCGAGTCGAGTTTAAATCAAAAGGCAATGAACTAAAAAAATGAGGGTTACATCAATTGAGTGTAACTCTATTGTAGGAGGTGGCAACAAACGACCCTCTCTTCTCCGACAATGGTATCCTCCTTTGAACAACGATAACATCCTCTCCTCTTCGATAATGACAATGATGACCGAAGTAACTAGTACTCCTCTCTACGACAACATCCTCTTGTCACCCTCTGATCCTCTCTCGTAACCAACGATGATGACATTCTTAATAGCACCACCAAATGGTGATGATCTCATCTTATCTTTAATTATAGTAACTTCATCACCTCTATGGTGATCTCATCCCCTCTCCAACTACGAACAATACGTTCATTTTATCAATGATAATATCACATTATTGATCACAAAGGTAATATTGAAAAGAACTTAATTTTTGATATTGCTACTAATGTCTTCTTCAAAATTAACATTAAGAAATTAAGATTCAAATATGTCTTTAAAACTATTTAAATTATTATATTTTACTTATTGAGATCACTATAAATGGGTGTTAAAATATTATTATTAGATTAATAATAACTTAGGGTCCAATGCCTTCGAAAACAATACCATAGACATTTAAAAAAAATTAATAAGTTGTATAAAAAAATATAAAACATCTTAGAAATATGTTATTATAATTTTAGAAAAGTTTAAATAGGTTTAAAGATGTATACAGTTGAGTTATCCTTAGGTTTATTGCTCGAGTTACACTAGAGCATAAAATTAAATATCCTTAGGTTTATTCAATATAGGAATCTCCTATTTCATCAATTAATAACATAAAAAAATATAAAATATATTAGAAACACGTTATTATTCTTTTAGAAAATTTTGTGTAGGTTTGAGGAGAATTTCAAAATTTATACTTCAATTATAATCGGGTTACACTTATGTTATACTCGCATTACACTTAGATTTAATATATAAATCTCATATTTTAATAATTAATAATCTTAAAATTAGATAAAATTATAAAGAGTGATATTAAATATGTTAGAATCATAATAGTTTTTAAGAAGTTTAGATAGCTTTACAGATAATTCTTCTGTTTGTACTTTTGTTATTCTAGGATTATACTCGGATTACATTCGAGCTATGCTCGATCACATACTTGATTTTAATTTATTTAGTTAGATATATTGCTTGATTGGAATATAAGAGTGTTAAACTCTCTAACATATTTTATGATATATCTATCTTTGAATTTATCTTTATTTTTTATCTTATAAAGTTTAGATATAATAACCCTTATTTATAACGTTTAATTGTAGAAGTATTTATAGAACTATGCCATTATGTAGATCTCCTAGACTTAGCTGAAAGAAAGGAGATGAAGTCATTAGTATAGGTAATATATACCATAACTTAAAGATTTATATTTAATCATTATTAAGTTACATGTAACTAATTAAATTTTATTCTAAGGTTTAAAGTTGAAGTCAAAAAGGTTTAAACACTCATTCCTCCTTCACTCCTACACTCACTTTCGTATCACCTCCTCCTGCATCATCCCCTCCATCATCCCATCCTCACTAACTCCCTTCATAAAACATAGTCAATGGTCATTGTTACATCGATTACTTTATATATTTTCTTTATAAATCTAGTGTTAAGTGTTAAGGGCACATAGTTTCATTTCCATTAGGGTTTGTCCCTATCGTGTTCTTACGAGGAGATATTTTCATCATCTAGTCGATTCGATATGCTAGCATTCTTATCTATCAATTAACTTTATATAGTATTTTAGATTATTGAATCAAGGAATCCACTTTTATATTTAGTGGTGTCCCAATTAAGTTTAGCCCGAGTAACGTTGCTCTAATTTTAATATTTTTAAACCATGAGAAACTCATATATTTTGAAGCTACAATTTTGAGTTACCGTTTGAGAAGTTCTTTATAAATCATATTTTTAGTAGATAAAATATAGATTATTCAACGTGTACGATGATTTCTAATTATGTTGATTATATTTTTTTTTATCAAATCAATTATACATTATTGACCGAGTACAATTAGACGATGACTATTCATTCTTACATCGTATAAAGATGTTAAAACTTCATTTAATGTGATTTCACTTGTGAGATATATATTTTTTATATAAAACTATCACTCTAAATTATATATATATATATATATATATATATATATATATATATATATATATATATATATATATATATATATATA